AGAACACTTGAAAGAACAAATGGCAGTTGGACTACCTATACGGCGTATTAGGGAAATCTGGAAGGTATGCAGAGGCATATTCAAGATTTTGTCGACGATGAGTATCTGGAAGTGGAGGAGGAGGGAAAGAAGGGGGGGATGGAACATCGAAACCATCAACGAATCTTGAATCTGGCATCATGTACTCGGACATTGGTTGGGAACAAGATATTGATAACACAGGAGTTGTTCTCTGACTCATCGTAGAACGAGCCAAAAAAGAAGGCGTGAAAGTGCTCGAGGATCCAGATGAATTCAAAGAAGATGAAATCGTGCTTTTTGGCTCATATTGAGCGCAGTAGTTTGATGGTGTGATTCTTGCAGTTCCTGTGATAGAATGAACCGGTGGTTCCTCGTCGTGTCGAGTCTTAACAATACAGCAACCTAGAAAAAAAGTAATGTCAAAACTGCGATGTTGGAAATATCTGTTTCCGTCAGAAACATTAGTGTTTACCTCTAACAAAAAGCGAAAGCATCAAGGGCAGAAAAAGTATCCCATGTATCAGTCCAATTGAAATTGCTAGGAAGACAGTTTTGAAAAATGTGACTATCATATAGGCGGGAACATCAGCTAAAACAGCTACTGCCATGATTGTCGATGCAGCTCCTGAACAAGTAATCGAGTGTGTCAAGAATAAGATAATCGATCTCAACCTTGCACGACTGGCCACCCCAAATCACGAAGTGCATCTTTCACTCTGAGTTTAGTATCTGTCTCCTTCGAAACCACATAAGCATAAGTTATATGCGCTGAATAGTCAACAGAGAAACCAACTGACATAATAATTGTTATCATTGAAATAGCGTCCTAGAATGCCATTAAATATGAAATAACGTTAAGTTGATTACGAACCAAGTTGACACCCCATAAAGTCATATAGCCTAATACTCCTAAGTCAATAGATCCAATAGTAAAAGCTACCCAGAGAGCGCAAAAAGGTTGAGGGATCAGCATAAAAGCAATAAACAACATACAGAGTACGGCGATTACGATATCTTGGATCTGAACAAAATTAATAGAAATCGTTTAACTTGATACTATACCGTGTTAGGTACAACAAGAGCATACTGATCAGTGAAGAGCCAGAGTGGCATGAAAGTGGTTACGTTGTATGGATTGTACCTTTCTGCCAACTGAAACAATACTTTGAAATAAGAGTAGAGCTTATAACGAGTTCACCGCTCTGAATTCATCGCAAGCCGAAGATTGTTGAGTGGTAGATGAAATATCTCTCATTCCGACCAAGAAACTGAAAAAAAAACAGAGCTTATTCTTTTCTCCTATATGTGAAATCCTCATCGATTTCTTTTTTTGAAACTGACCGGAACGCTTTAATGTAAGTACGACCAGTTTTGTCCGTAGTCCACTTGACATCTTCCATCCAAGGATCATCTTCGTGACTGTACAAGTAGTGAGCGGCCATTTGATAGAACGACTTAAACATGACGATTTTGGAAATAGAGAACAAAAAAATCACCTCGTCGGCCAGAGTAGTGTTAACTTCAAGAGCATAATACCGTTCCATTTCGTTCATCCAAAACTGAATGGATTCATCGCCTTAAAAATATTCAGATCAAACTGTCTGGGGTACTTTGCACACCTATAGAAAACTTGGTATTAGCGAAGGCTCTGACCATGTCTTTGATATGTTGTCTTGTGAGGGGTTCACGTAAATCCGGAGCTCGGTTCACAACAATCTGTAAGTAAATGATCTTGAACACGATTTGCCTTTGTGAAACCTGCAGAGTAGCTCCATAATGCCAAAAATGTTTTTCTAGCGAATGATAGTGAGGAGTTGCATACGAATCATCAACCTACAACATTAAAACATGTTAAGCTGAATTATTAGGTCAATTTTCTTTTCACTGAATAACCTGTTAGTGACCTTAAGCCGGCTATTTTAAACCAGATTATTACCTATGCTGTGTCAAGCCCAGGATCATAGCTAGTTAAAATCCAGTTATTTTAATTGTTTTCGTTTTCGAAAAACTTTGATGAAAACTGACCAGAAGGTTCACAGGCTCTAGACCTTCCTTCAGATGTAAACATCCGTAAATGGCGAAGCCGACATAAATAAAGTACCAAATTATGACGAGCCCTTTGACAATCGGTTGCATCAAAATGGGAGCGTACCTGCAAATAAAACTTGTCTCTAGTTAAATTATAATGGAAAAAATCATTAAGAGTAGTAAAGAACAGTAAAGAGTTTTCTCACATGGAAGTATTCCGTATACTAACAAGAACTTTTGTAAGAACTCACCAATTTTGGAAAAATTGGGTTGCTTGACAATTTTTAGTGTTGTGTTTGTGATTCGCATCCGGGTGAGGTCTCGAACCCATCCAGAAGAGTTTGGAACACAGGGATGACGAGCTCTGGACTTTTGGTGGAACCGTAGGCTTAAGTAATAGACAATGACGGCCTTCCGATTCCCATTGAGTGGCTATGGATAAAACAGCACAGAAGAAAGTGATCTTTAAAAAAAACATAAGTAACTTAAAGTGATTCTGTGGCTGGTCAGTTGCTTGCCGTTTTGTTCAAGTCTCACCTGATACAAAAAGGTCATAACCAACGCTAATCCTGTATATATGCAAAATATCTGAACAGCTGGAATGGTCGTTATGGTTCCAACACCGAAAGAAAAGGCGTCTATAAAGTAAAGTAGACAAGAATTAGCCGAAAATGTTTCAGACGAACCTGTTAATGCGGTAATGAGGATAGAAACAGCCGCTTCAGCCATGCACTCTGCCATTCTCGCTTGAGTGCTCAACGCTCGAGAAGTTTTCTTCACTGAGGCAACCATCAGAAACATGTTATCAGTTCCCACAGCTCAAAATCTTTTCATGAAGCGAAACGTAAGAGATTAGAGACTAACCAACAACCAGAAACGGCATTACAGCAACGATGTCATTATACTGCACACCAAGTAAAATCAAAATACCCATGGCACTAGCTATTCCCATCCCAGCATTAAAAACGCCTAGGAAACATGTTTGAACAATTCACTTTTCAGTTCTTACCAATAATGGAAACTATCGGCTTCGATAAAGCCCAGTCAATAAACAGAGTACCTAAACGAGAATTGTAAGAACAAGAAATATGGAAAGTTATACCTCTTACTGTAACCATGGAGCAAAACACAGAAAAAGTAATCAGTATAACAAAGGCTGTGATAAACCTAAACAGTTGGTCTATATTGTATCTAATGTTCTGTTCGTACCTCGGAGCCAAACTATCAGCATTTTTCTTCAACTCTTCTGCTAAGGTTTGCGAATGAAAGTACGTAATAGATATATAAGGGTCAGCCGGATATTCATCCATATGTCGTTTAAAAGTCTACAATTAATACTTCTTTAAATTATGACAAAAAAAAACAAACGTTTTCCCAGATGCCAGATACATAAGACACATTCGATGGATAAAACTTTAATTGGTAAATGAGAATCCACGCTCGGGCAGATGCTAACAAAACTTGACCAGAATCATCGCGCCCTAAAGTTACTCCTCCCAGAGCTGATCCTAAGTATCCACTTCTAGAAAAAAAGTTAACATACCTAATTAGAATTTGTTTACTTACTTGGACCCCATTCGGAAAGTAGGGAACGTGATATTTATACCATGATTGTATAGTTGGGAGATGATGCTTACATGTTCATTTGAGTGGCATCCCTTTTGCTTCCAGCGTAAGCATAAATCTTTGTATGTATACGTACGATTTCGGAAGTTAACCTGTAAATAATTTTCAGTTATTTATTTACATTATGTGAACATAATTTTCGTTGAATTAACAATAAAAACGACAAGAATTTGGAGAAAAAACTGGATATGCTCAAGATGGCCAAGTTTACAAGGTTTCAAACACATTTCTATGGTTTTTGTAATATTCAGAAAATCAAACAAACCCACTTTAATCTTGTTTTGAATATAAGAGTCAAGACGCTGAATAGCTTTTGTATATTCAGGCAACAGAATATTTCCATCATTACGAGCTACCACTGTCAACTAGAAAGAAAACAAAAAATATAAAAACAAGAATACTCCGAACCTGAGCTTCTCGGTTCTGAGTTACAGTGCGACCCGGCACATAGTTCTCTTCAGTCAAAGGCCATAGGTCATGAATTATCTGACGTTCAACCTTAGAAGGAGCATCGGTTGGTGTATATAAATAAACGGCATCTGTTAACGGATCCAAATGTAAGAATCCTGAAACAAATAAACTAAGCAACAATTTCTAAAATCGCAATATGAAAGTAGTTTCCTCTCCAGTTAACTGGTCATTATTACTCAGTGTGGAACACAACCAACTCATGCGAGAAAATCAAATATAATCAGCTTTCACGCGAAAAGAACATCCGTGAAGTATAGAACGCCTATTCACGTATATACTCCGGAAAATGTGTTCAAGATTTTTGCAAAGGAGTAGGGAATGTTTGAACTGTATTGAGATGATTCGTACTACAAACACTCATAATCGATGTTTTGAATTGGAATTTCAGTTGAAAAGAAAAACACGATATTTGATTATTTCGTGACTTTTTTTGGCTTCGTTTTGTTCGCTCCAAACCATTTGAGAGACAGTCTCTATCTCACACACTTTAAAACTGTTTTATTTTATATAAGAGGAGAAGAAGATTATCGACAGAGTGTTTTTTCTGGGAAATAGTTGAAGATTTGAGTATAAAGTGGAAGACTATTGATATTAACGAGAGAACATGGTCTATTTTTCGTTTCGAAAATTGGGCGATGACCTTTACTACTTTGACTGTCAAAACGACCAGGTGACTGAGTGACCGACTGACTAACTGACTCCAATTTCATTTTATTGCAAAGTCTGATGTGATAATTATTGATACAATATACTATGGCTTTCGTAAATCAAATAGTGGTTTTAAAAAATCTTTTCGAAACTGTTAGGCCATTGTTTTAAGTTGAAATACTCGTATTTTTATTTTGGTTTTATATTTTAATTGAAAGTTTAACTGAGGCTTCATGGACTGAAACTGACCTGTGCTGAAGTACATTGTCAATAGCAAAGGAAAAGCTATAAATGGGAAAGGGTGATTTGATACAAACATTCCATATTTGTAAAAGAAATTGGCGATGGGTCTTTCCAGACAGCCGAACGCTACCATCTTTTCTGCTGTTGTTCTTTCGAATGAAGAAGTTTAGAAAAATAGGCGAACAGATTCTAATGGTTAATTCATAGCCTAAAGGCAACGGGATGGGGAGTTCTAACACGGATGAAGAGATCGAAAATCTGGAAAATATAATATTAGTTGAGAACGCGTGTGGAGAGAAGCGAAAACAATCAAATGAGGTAGAAGAACTAAAAAACTAAGATTCTGATGAAGTGGGCGGGAAATTAGTTCATTTTCTTACTTTTGTATGTTTCAACCTTGATTGTCTATGTTGATGGGCCAAATGACAACGAAAATGGTAATGACAGCCAATGAAGAAGGGAAGAGAGAAATTGTGGAAAGATGAGTTGACTATTAGAAGAGAGAAATGTGAGTTATCTAGGTCAGACTAGCCAATAGCATAACAGAGAAGTATTCGCATTAGTTTTGATTGGTAAAGCTGATAAAACGACATTCAAAACCAAAAAATCTTAGGCCGGAATCTCATTCTTCCGTTCAGGTCACGAAAATCCCATTCAAGTATTCTTTACCTGTTCGACAACGTTGACCAGCTTTGCTAAGTTTTTTTTGCGACTGGCAGATCTCCCATTTATGAATACATGGACAGGAAAATTTGAGCAAAAACTGAACGAACACGAAGAACCAAAGAACGGACATAAGAAGTTATTCTTCGAGCATTGAGGAAGAGTTATGCGAGACTTCTCAGAGAAAACACTCTGGAGCAATGAAGAGAGCAGTGTGAAACGGAATAAAACATACAAAATGATGTATATGAGAGAGAGAATTTCATGAAAGTTGGGAAGAAATGGAAAATTCATACTTCAACAACCCTTAGCTGGAGGCAATTCTGGAAAGGATAGTTGAGGACGATTGGTCACAATTCTCTTTTCGCTTTCACCTCTTCTCCGCAACTTTGGTAGTACCACCCTCTATCTCCCTTCTCTTTCTTTCTCTCACAATGGTTTATGGTACGAATACTTTCTTCTCCGGTTCCCTTGGACGTCTGCGTCTCTTCTATCTTTAATAATGTACAATCATACAGAACTGACCTGGTTTGCTCTTTGAAAACGACCGGGTGGACTAGTGAAGATCGGAAAGATGAGCGAACACATCTGTCCCCAGCTACGTTACATGAGACGTTTTTACCATTCTGCAACGATTTTTTAGCGAGCATTCAGAATAAATTATGATCCTTTCCACTCATCATTGAAATGAAAACGAAGAACTTATTAAGCGAAAAGCGTAAAAGTCTACATTTCTTGAATTTTTTTTCCGTTTTCGAAAAAAATTCGTCAGTTTGACCTCATTGTCCTAAAAGGATGAATTCAGATGATATGCCATCGTTATCTCTCTGACCTTCGTATAACTACAGCATTTTGAAATTTCACATGATTATGACGAAATTCCCTCTTCTTCGGTCGGTTAAAACAACGTATGAAATTCACCGACAGCTCAGTTAGGAAAAGAGAAAGACTCATCCAGTTGGAAACATTTGAATCATTAAGTTCTGGAATAGTAATCTCCAACAAAAACTTAAAATAACCAAGATTGATGTATTTGAGAAGCTAAAGTAATGAGTTAATTGAAGGACCATTCGTCCAAAATAAATAGTTGTTTTCAACTATGAAAATAAGAAGGATAGAAAAACTGGATAAGCATGATCAGAAGTATTCCCATGTATTATGGTACTGGTATCCGGAGGACACCAATTTAAAAAGAATATACGCCAAAACTTAATCTTGAGTACTTTCTACAATAGAACTGTCATATATAGAAAACAGATACACTTATCCGGCCACAAATGGAAATCGAATGAACTGGCGCTAATCGATAGGTATAACTCTTTAGGTCTCACAACCTTTGAGGCAACACAGCTCAAACTACGGTCTAACCAAAGAGCAACAACAAAGAGCATTTTACTTACTCGAAACACCAAGATGGCTATCTATTATAGGAATGTCAGGCTTGTTAGATTATCTGAAAGAAGACTTGATTACCTGAGCGATCTTCCGTTTCATCTCAATCCGCTGTGTTAATGAATAATTGCCAAACTTGGGGGAATCACCTTAGTGTTCTAGTAGTCTCTATTTTTTGTTTGATTGCAGTCCATAATTGTTTTTGTAATAACTAAACTTCTATCATTAGGTGTTTCATTTCCTACGTTTCAAACAAAATATTGGATCGAGATACCTTTTTCTCCAAAATTCATACAATTTTGTTTATCAATTGTGGAAAATTAACAACTTCGAAGATATATTGACCCTGAATTGGCTGTTGATGCACTAAGGAACAAGAATTCGAGCGGGCGTTTTACAGAGCAACATGACCGTCGAGCTTCATTATTTAACTTTAATTATGTAAAGCTTGTTCGTCGTTTTGCCTACCACAGATATATTGAACAGTACTGTAGGTCATTTCAACTATTAATCACAAGCTTTTATTGAGAAGAGCAGAACACATTCCGGCTCAAGATCAGGTTCATGCCATTTCTAGTATCTGTTAAAGTTTTTTGGGTTACAGAACTAATTCTGGTTTTCCCCGATCAACCTCTCAATGTTGAGGTTAAACAGAAACAATTGGATCAACAAAAACAAGGAAAACTAAAGAGAACTACTATCTATTGAATTCTAATATTGCTTAGCCATTGTAGGCTTCGGATGGTAGAAGAGATTCGAGTGCATAACAGTTTCTGATAAGTTTCCAACTAACGAAGGCTCATACACACCTTGCACATCTGTAACTTTTCCTTCCAGTACGGAAATGTTGTGCATAGACTGTTCGATCTAAATTAAAAACTGATTATGCCTACATTCATAAAAAAAAACTTTTTTCAGCTCTTCCTCAAGATCAGATTTCCTTTTTTGATTCTTGGCTAACTTCCCTTCACGTTCACCAATGAACTTCTCATGAAGAGAGTGTAATCTTTTTTCTTTTTCTTCTTCTACTCTTAACTGCAACTGAGCTTCAGCCCACGCCTACAACATACAATTTGTCCATCTAATCATTAGAGAAACAAACTTTTCTTGTTTTGACATGCTCAGGCTGCTTAGGTACATGATAAGCAATCTTCAGTTCATTAATAACTCTATCGAAAGCCTCCGCATCCTTCTCTCTGAATGATGCAAACTGTGAGAAAAACAATGCACGACAGTACCTGAGAATACGAAGCATCTTTCTTCTATGATTCACAAACAACCAAATTCGATGAGTTAACCAAGTAGGTTTCTGAAAACAATGAATAAGCATTTGGTCTATCCTAAAGTAGCATAGTCCACATACTTTGGGAGTTGTTTTACTTATTTCATCCACGAGCTGGGACCAATGACGGATAAGCGCTGTCATCCAAGCAACTGAAACAGACCTTTTTCTTGATTAGACGCTTCATCTTACTTTTCATTTCCGGACTTTCCCCATCAAGTGAATGCCGATTAACCTTACTGATCATTAGATTTTTCCATTCTGTTGTTAAATCTCTGCGAGTACCGAATTCAATACTAAACCGACAACATTAGATTACCTTACACAACCTCATTTACCTGAATATTTTTTTTACCGCATCCGGAGCTTTAGCAAGCTCATCTAAGTTTTTAAAAGCTGTCCTTGGTTTGCTTTTGTCTACCTCAGGAAGACCAAAAGTCTCAGTGTTAGCAACCTATTATACTGCTGAGCAGAACTAGTTGAACTAAAGCATACCAAGTTATCAGCAGCTTTCAACCCTAAATCTCTCTCCGAGCCGATTTTTTCATAATACAGTTTACCCAAAGCTGTTATATAGTGATCATCTAAACAAAATAACAAAACAGATGTGGAAAAAAACATTATATACCTAATGGAAGTTTACGAGCTCTCTTTTCAAAAAAATCTGGGTCTTGTTTTTCAGGTTCAGTCACCTTGGAACAGATCATTAGAAGTCGATATTAGCAATAAACATTCATTACCTTCTTATGTATATTAAAAAAAGACGATCTCCCTCTTGATATACAGGGAGATACATGAAATGCTCTTTTACTAAGAGCTTGCATGTTCTTAAATAACGCGTTATTAACAACCCTCGGCATCTGCACTTGCAAAAGTAACTGACGGAAGAAGTAACCAAATAGGAAAAACAGGAAAATCATATTATATTATTAAATACATAATATATTTGAACATAACCGATAGATATGTGGGATTAACAAAGTGTTTTGAAGAAAGGGGATGGAGAGAAAGATAAAAAAAGGGAAAAAGAATTTAGAAATATAGGTGATGTCACAGGGGTTACAAATCACTACATCAAGGCATTCAGAATTTCCAAACTTCCAACATGGAAAGACTTAGGAATATTCGAAGGAGACACATTAATTGGATTTTGATACAGAGAGAATGAAAATTTGAAGCAGAAAACAGCTAAAATAATTTAATCGCTTATTACCATATATAGATTCTCAGGAATTGATCATAAATTCTCATTTAAACATAGGAGTGAGCTGAAAAGTGCAGTTTGTGGGTTGGCAGTGGATTCTTCAATGAAGCTAAGAAAGAGAAGAAAGGTAAGAAGTCTCTAACCGACTGAGTAATGAGCTCCGAAGATTCAATTGAATTTCTGGCTAATAAATAGGGCCGTTTGTATAATTTAGAGAAGAATATAAATATAAAAAAAGAAGAAACAACAATTGATATGAAGAATAGGAAATGGCTACTTTGTTCACAATAGAATTACTGTCTTTACATATTCTCATACTGGTCAATTCTGCGCTTGGTGTTTCCTCCTCTGATTTGTCGTAAAGTCTTGTACTTATCTCGACCAGCTCTTTTATTTTCCATATGTAGAACATCATAATCAGTTACTCCACTCTGGTCTTTAACACCTTCCAATTCTCTGGTAAGAAGCTATAAAGAACAATATTATCCATTCCTAAAACCAATAATAATCTCACCTCTAATTTGTTCTTAATGTTCAAGTTCTGTTCTGCTGTTGTCACACGATCCAATTCTCGCTGAGGAACATGTTGATCAGCTTCGTTTGTTAAATCTTAATAGAGAGAGAGAGAGAGTTATAAAAAAGCACAGTTTCTTAATAACAAACCAGTTTGTCCATTCTCGTCCTCATCGGTATGGTTATCCTCACGGGTAAGGATAGTGGAATGACTGATGTGTTGATGATGGTGATGATGATGCTCATGCTTGTTATTATCAACCTCCTTTTGGAGAATAGACATAGCTTCAGTTTGTCTTTCAACTTCATGGCGCATAGCATGAACCTCAAAACGGGTTACATAAAAATAGAAGACATAGAGCACTTACTTCTTCTTTTCTGTGATTAACTTCCTCACGGAGTCGCATGCGTTCTTCATCGCTCATCATTTTTTCGGATTGAAGTTGAGAAGTCAAATCACGAAGCTCCATCTCCTTACGTTCGAGATCGTCCTTTGCCTATGTGGAGACTATGAAAAAAAAGGAAAAAAATAAAAACAGACTTTCTGGAGTTGACGAAGTTGGCTTTCGAGACCGACAATCGTGTTTTGGGCTTCTTGCAAGTCGCGCTTAGCTCTTTCCATTTCATCCTTCATTTGTTGCATATGCTGTTCGGCTTCACGTTGGCGAGCTTCAGCTTGTTGACGAGCAGATGTTTCCTGAAATAGAACATAGAATATAGCTTCAATGATTGATATGATACCTTGTTGAGGCGCTCTTGTTCAGCGATTTTCAGAGCTCTTTCATCTCTGGCCTGTTGCTTCATTTGTTGGACTTCGATGGTATCAGGCTTTCTTCTTCTCATGTAAAGTTCATGATTACCCATACACAGAGCTAAGATTCTCTTGTTGATTCGAAGTCTTGGTGCGTAGAAGACGAAATCCTTAACGGGCAAGATGATTTGAAAATTGAAGCGATAAGAAACATACGTTAGCTTTCTTGTCAATCGGTTTAATGACGAATTTCTTGTCATTGAAGGAAATATTGCGGATTTCGGACCAAGGGAAGCCGACCTGTAATAATGAAGATATTGAAACCTTCAATTGACTAATCTCTTACTTTGGGCGAGAGACGGTCAGACTTCTCATAAATATTGAGACCTAAAGCGTCAACTCCTAAGTAGAGCTCAGTTCCTTTCTTATTTTTAATTTCGAAATACTAAAAAAAACATAGAAGATATTAAACAATAAATTGAGGCTCACATTGACTCCATACATCTCCAAATCTTGAGCGATTTTCAAATATTCGAGCATAGCTTGTTCACGGTTAGTGCCTTTATGATCGTTCCACCAAGTCATAATGCGATGTTCCCATTCATCGGCAGACAATTTGAATTGACCAGCAACACGTTGAGGAAGCAATCTGAAGGTTCAAAACTAGAAAAGCATATAAGACTGTACTGATACCTGTCGGCAGTCAGACAACCAGGCTTGTGGGTATCAGCTTGGTAATCCCCATATTTGGCTTGCATGGCGAAACTAGCCAACAGTACAGAAGATTCAGGTGGACAGTATATTTCATCGGAAAGAATAGCTTCTTTAACTTGCAAGTAGAAAAGACGCTGAAAAGAAAATAAGTTTGTAGGTGTGAACGTTTATTTTCCCATATTATGTCTACAAATAGCCATCATCATACCATGGATGATCGACCTATCGAAGCCATATATGTCAAGGATGATTCAGAGTTTAAGCATGACTAACAAGAATATCAAAACTGCCTACGCTCAAAGAGAGGCGTCAGGAATGAGAATATCGAAATTGCTTCGAAAGTTCATTCAACAAATGATCTCTTTTCTGCAAATTTGGGTGCCAAAACCTTTTTCATCATTCTCATTTCTAATCGTTTCCACTATAAATGAATTGAATTCCTATCATAAAACACAGCAATCACTAAACTTTCGCGTGGCTTATTTCACAAATCAGGAACTTCATATCAGCGAAAACACAGAAGGAGCATAGCGCCCAACTTCTCAAGGCAGGTACCGTATGAAGCTCTAAGAGACTCATCAGAAATCTCAAATTAATGTTGTAGCACTTCTAGTTTCATCTTCAATCTTTCTGATAATAGCTTGAACTTTGTCAGTTCGTCTTAGAGCATTTTTAAAAATGTTTAGAAATGGCCAAAAACCAATTATTGGTTTTGCTTATCAATAACGATAACGTTGCACCTCGCTAGAAAACGTCAACTATGTACAATACTTAATATGGAAAGTGAGGAAAATCGCGTAGAAATGCATAAATCAGTCAAAATCTTCGGAATCTCTCGAAGTTCGTTGAGATTATCCCCATCGATGACAGCAAAAAAAAAAAATTTCCCATGGCATTGCAACGGAACAACATAAGCGGATGAACTTATGATGAGACCCAATTCCGAAAACGCAAACGAATCAAACATGACCATATATGAACAAAAAACTAGTCTCATCAAGCGCAACTTTCAATGAGGATAAAAAATACCATCGTGACGTCTTGGATGATTTCCTCTCCTACATCTTCTGGATAGAACTTAGCACGGAATTTGAATAGCAAAGTGTTATCTTTCTTGACATCCTGGCTCAAAACCTTTTTGTTCAATTTCAGCCATGTTGGAAAGCCTGTAAGAAATATTTGGAAACAAAGGTATGATCAAGGATACAAACCTTTATTATCTGTATATTGAAGACCAAAATACCAAATCTCCCTGAGCCCAATGGTCTTCACGACCTAAAAAGAATATAAGACACCTTAAGCATTATGAAGAAAAGTCTAACCTGATCAAAAAGTTGTTTGCCTGTGGTAGCCGATTGGATGGCAAACTCCAATTCGGCATCCATCGTGGTGACGCGGACATTGATCTAGAAAAAAATTGAACTTAGGCAATGTATAAGCTTGATTCAGTCTTTCGTAGATGTATTAGGATTACTCTCACAGTTTTCCCGCTGTTTCACCATAAAAAAAAATATCTCAATATCAAAGTTAAACTTACATCGGTAGGAGCCATGCTTCAAACCAGGGACCAGAGAAAGAACGAGCAAAATAGTGATTCGGACCCTTTAAGTTCCGCCCCTCTAGCTATACGGCTAGATACAAAAGAAAAGAGTCATGTTTCACCACAAACGGACTGAATTGTCACACAATAACAGTTCGAAGCATTGCTCTCTCTATGCTTTTCACTCTCATATTTGGTGTCTATCTCGCACCTTCCTTATCTAATTCTTCATGTATACACTCACTAACTTATCTCCTCTATACAAAAAGCTTTTAGAAAGGTTTTTCTAATTAATGTTTTAAAACAATTGAGGGAGAACATAAATAATTACATAATGAACTAATAAACAACTTACGGCTTTCTTGGACATTTTGTACGGATATTATGGGCCCGTAGCCTGTAATCTGTTCTACACTCCCGACAAAGCACTAGTGAGCTGCAAAAAGTATACTTTATATAGTTATAAACATTTTGGAAATACGTAAGCGAATATAGTTCAAGCAAATGGCGCGGGGGAATGATTTAAATTAACGCAAACGTAGGTTACTTTCACGTGTTGACGCAGACGTTGTGTAAAGTAAAACACAAGAGAAGTAAACAAAGCAAGTTTGGGCTTCTTTCAAAAAAAAAGAAATGCTTTATATCAATTTAAGTGGAAGAGAGGGAAGTTTCGAATTCTCAAGAGATTTATGTAGTTTTTGAAAGATTTTCAACATTCAGTGGCCACAACCATCATACCTATTCGAATGAATCATCCCGCTCGGTTTTAGTAACAGAAACATGAGGAAAGGGCAGGAAAGTTAAAAGAAGTTGGGGTATTGATAAAGAGAAAGAAAGGAAGAGATAGAAATGAACAAAAAAGAAATCGTTATACATGTCGAAACAGCTTCGAAAGTAAAGAAGAATAAGTAAGAACTCAAGGATTGTATTGGATGCAAAGCCAAGCGAATATCTAAGTATGTCTCATAATTAGGCGAGGAGGAGAAAACTCCAAGAAAACTTGCATTAAATTGCTAGCAACTAGTACCTACAAAAACACTAAGTAAAAATATGAAATTTATAAATTAGAAAATAAAACTCTGAATGCATGAGGCATAACTTAGTGTATGAGTTTGGTTACTGAAGGAAACGTGAGTCTGATTAAGAACAAGCTCAAATCTCTCACGTTTGTTTGAACAAAACCAACAATTCAAGTCAAAATATGTCATAGCGAAAAGGGCAAGAAATTGTGTGAATCAATGAAGTTGGATGAACAGTTGATTCTCACAATAAACAAAAAAGGAACTTTTAAACGATTGTGATAGTTAAAAACTGAGAGACACCCGAGAACAGGTGTTTATCATGTATAGAACATCATAGATTGGCGACAAGAAACCGAAAATAGCACAACAGATGCTAGTGAGTAACTTTTCACGAATGAAACGAGCGAAAAAAAATTAGAATTGACCAATTTGGCTGTGAGAGGAATGTGACCAATAGTGATTCTGTTGTAGAGCGCGCGCGTAAACGGTGCGGTGAAACATGAGCAAGAGCAAGAAACTTAGGGGGAACCGAGAACACGCTCCGAAACAGCTTAGGATTGCAGAGACAGCATGATGTAAGACAAGAACAGTTTTAGTTGACAAAAAGCTCAGCTGAACCGTGTCCAAATTCTACAGAGGCAGGAAAACCAGGGCTAAAATAATAAACATTGAGTAGTGTTTGAACCTGCATTCTGGCAATGTTGTACGGGAATTACATTAGCAACATGAAGTGTTCTAGGATTATGCAAATGGGAGCAGTTTTACTTGGAACAGATAGTTCCCGGGTGTGGTGGAATTTACGAGAGAGAGAGAGAGAGTAATAAAGGGATATGTGTGAGAATGGAACTATAATGCAACCTTTCTGTATGTCTATGGAATAAAAATGAAATATGGATATGATCAACTTATGACAAAATTGACTGTAAAGTTGGTAAATTTGCTAGATGATCGATGCATACAGACTATGCGCCCTCATCTGCGTGTGGGTGAGCGGTGTGTGGCTGTTTTGTGCCAATAGATGATATCTATCGTTCGGGCTGTAACGGAGTTGTGAGATCCGATACATATATAGAAAAGAAAAAAGGAATCGAGAGAGTAAGTGAGAGATAGAGATTGCGTATGAGGCCACCATCGCTACCTCCAGCACCATTCCGACAGCCACCGTCGGTTCTTCAGTCTGCGGCTCAAACAGGCAATAAACACTTTTCTAGGATGGGATCCACAACTTTTTCAAAAAATATTAAACATGATAACTACAAAAAATTACAGAAAACAAGTAATCTTGCATGAACGGAATGTGTTTTCATGCGTTATGAACTAATGAACGATATAGAATTAGAATAACAAAGAAGAGGAGAGCATTTGAGTAGACAAATTCAAAATACAGTTGGTGAAAAAGAGTTGACAAACTGTGAGAAACTGACAGAGCCAAGAAAACAAGATGTAGAGATAGATTATTGAATGAATGAGTTGATTCATGTGATAGGAATGAACAGGAGGACAAAGAAACAGCTGTAGAAGTGTGTGTCCTTTCATCACTTCCTAAAACGGCCAATAACAAACCTCTAAAAGTAAAGTTATCAACGCCGGAGGAAATAATGTCAATGCTACACGTTCATGCTAACCAAAATCAGGATGGAATTGCTGAGAATTCAAATTCAAGAAATAAGTGAAAGCAATAAAGCTCAAAACAGCCAGATGCAAATTAATATTATTTTGAATATGATATATCTCAGCATTTGACAACAAGAATAACAGCAAATGGGCATATCGACAAAACTATGTATGAAAATGGAAAGAAATCAAGGAGAAATAAAGAAAAAGATGGAAAAAGATTTGGAGACTGAAGAAGGAAAAGAGAGACAAGGTACAAGCGAGGTCTCTCTTCTTTTTCCTTGTCTCATTCGCTTCCATTCTTACTATCGGCGATGTGACATCGATACAACACATTTTGCATCCACAAGGTTAACGATATCCGTAAAAACAAAATCCCGACGAGATTGGAACGTTAACACTTACATACAGATTGTAATAAATATGTACATATAAGACGATATAGAAATTAAAGGTCATGCTTTCAATAGGAAAAATTTGTTCCTTAAAAAAACCTCAGATGGCATTGTTGAAGACAGCTGTCAAAGACGCCGTCAGTTCTCAAACTCCTCGCAAAGGCTGCGTGGTTGTTCGGCGCCAAAAAATAAGATTCAAAATTCAAAGCTTTAAAAATGAATACTAGAATAGGAAAACTATTACGAAATCCGAAATTTATCAAAGCGATAGCTAATTTCTTGGCCCGAAGCATAAGAAGGAACGATGTCGTCAGAGAAGATGGAGGTTAGGTTTGATAGTTCGACGAAGAGAACGGACAGACGACGTGTAGACTCGAGGTAATCCGTTAGCATCGCGACGAAGCGAATCGACGTACAAACAAACTGTCAGATGAGGAAAAGTATAAAAGAAAGAAGAAAGGGAAACATGGAAGAAGACAATTTGGAGATAGTTTGCACGAATGACTTAGGGCATCCCTTGTGTTGACAAAACTGAAGAAGCTGTATGTTCAAGCTTGATTCTTTTACGAACGGTGTACGATTGCTAAGCAGAAGAAATGGAATAATAAGTCCGAACGCATTTTCAAGTCATACTGATGTTTGAAAGGTCTATAACTCAAAACATATGATGATAATCTAGGACCATATGTGAAGGGCAATGACGATCAAAGATGAAAGACTTTCGTATAGACAAAGACGACGTGAAGCAAAAATGAAAAGACGAACTGAATAAAAGATCCTGGAGGCGGGCAGACCATATGAGGTAAGTGACCATCACCTTTCATACATGTGCGGCTAACAGGTCTTCAACAGGAGAGCCTCAAACCACAGTCACGGAGAGGTTCTGGACTTGCCTTTCTTCACAGCGGAACAAATGGTAAAATAGAAATTCCTCTGTCTATCCTCGCTGGCTCATTGAACGGTTGCATTCTGTCTTCTTCAAACTTTAAAGTCTCTACTGTCTCGTATTCACTCCAATAAGTTATGCTATTCTCTCTCGGTACTGTTCTCGCCTCGGGGCCAAGCCCAAGGTCAATGAAATATGGCCGAGAACGGAAACAGTATATGAGGTAGAAAAGATTATAAGAGCATGTGGAAAAGAAAGAGATGTTAGGACGAACGATTCAAACAGAAATGGTTTGATCGGAAGTCTACTGATGACCGGAATTAAAAGACATCTAAATGATCTTATAAAAAACTTCATTGATCCTGGAAAACATTTGTGAGGACCAGAACATCATAATCTGATTGAACTAAGCTGTGTATCTTTGTCATGATATTCTTTTTGCTTGATAATCAGGGATTGATGTTTCCGAAAAACTGATGGACAGTGAATCCGAACGGTTTGTGTGTGTCTGTGTGGCTCTGTTTGCGCTATAAAATATACAAATATTATACACTATCGCAACAAAGAATGTCTAATCAAGTAAGCTTGTCCATTATCATGACGCCGAATGTATTTGATAACTTTTTTGGCTCCATGAGTCATTATGCGAGAGGAAGTTCAAATTCCTCTCATTTTTTCACGGCGCTACTGATAAAGATGTTTTGTTTCCGGCCTGTCGAGTCCCGTGTGGGTGGCCTGATAAACATAACAATAAGAAGCACAACTTTCAGAAAAGAAGTTTGTGAATAAGACTGCGTGTTCTATAGGTTCACACGCGTTGAAATTACTTTTCACTCTAATCCAGCTTTTAACCAAACAAGCTGAACAAAGTCGGGTTATTACCGATCATCATGACCGGATGGCATGTTTATTTACAGTTCCTTCTTTTATATGAGCAATCTTTTCCCATCGCTCACAGGATATCTGTCAAGTGTCAACCAAATAAGCCTGAGAAACAAAGATGACACCGAAGACAAAAAAATACATTAGTGTATCTGCGTTCTATTACGACAAAGAAGGGAAAATAGAATTAATCTTCAGTTAGTCAGCTTTTCTCATGTGATACAACCAGAGAAACATCGAAAACTATGACCATTATAGGAAAACAGACAAATTCCACAGTCTTCATCAATAATTTGACGTAGTTGATCCAGTTATGACGATGAATGACTGGGAATGCTTGAAAACGATATGAATGTTTAGAAAAGAGATCAGATCGTCGTCTAGTAAGAACAATCATTCATATTCATAAAAGTAAATGGTCGAGGGGAAGAACATTGAAATAAATCCATGATTGCGGTAAAAAAAAACCTGGCGCATGTCGTTTGAGAGCAGTTCAATAGAGGAATTGAGGATATTAAGAGATATAACTGAATTGAAATCTTATAGAAACTTGAACAACTTGAAAAAATCGAAAAAAAACATTCATTCAACGTTTCAGAAACGGAATAATATACAACAATTATTAGTCCTAGGATATTACTGAAGAAATGGAAATACCCGCTTATCAAGTTGAACTCTTACAACTTACAAATACTAAGATGAAACAAAAAATTGTATTTCAAGCTATCTGACTTTGGCCAAAACACGCATAACTGTTAGACACACACTTAGAAAACACACAGAACACGCGTACACACACAATTATAATCTCAAAATTTCTAAACAAATTCGGGCTGAACTTCATCATCTATGTTCAAGCCGGAGTATCCGAATTGGAATGGAGGACCATGATTATTGTTTCGTCGGAAACGACGATAACCAAAGAGCACTTAAATTAATTCATATATGTCTATATAACTTCGAAAACGTACCAGTTGCGCCGAGTAGAAGCAAGATCAGGAACGTACCGAAGCCATATCCGCTTGTTTGACAAAGGTTAATTCGCAATTCAAATAAGTTTTGACCTTTAAGATTTGCCGGTCCAGCACAGTATGTATGACCCTAAACAATCAGTCATGAATATAAAGTTTGCATATACATTTGAATAAGGTAATATATCTTGTGAACTATTAACGCTTCATTCTCTTCCATTCATTTCTCAGGCCAACTCGTTACGACTTGTACTTCTCAATAATCATTCTGTTTCTACTTAAAAAAGCATGAGGGATGGTTTAAATTAATTGTTTTGAATACAAGAGATCATGCTAAAGAACAGTTTGTTTCTAGTTCTCACCCTATCCCTTCAAAGGTACAAATCCTTGTACTTGGACAAAGCTCGATTGCATAAGATGAATGTGATTCTTCTCGTTGCGATAAAAACAGCAGAACTCTTACCTGATTCATAAAATCGTTATTTTCGCTTTTAGCTATGTGAAGGAAAGGTTCTAATGAGCAGTCACACTGCAGGGGGTTGTTAGAAATATCAAGAGATGTTAAGACCGGCAGTGATTCCCATAAAGATGCAGGTATCTAGAAATAATTAGAAATCATGAAGAGCATGAAAATGAACCCACAGTTGTGAAGTTGTTTCCACTCAGATCAAGAGCTTTCAAAGATTGAAGACAGTTGGGAGAGACGGAGAAAGATGATAAATTATTATTAGCTAAATCCAACTTTAGTAAGCCCGAAACCTGGAACAGCAAGAACGTAGCATGAACAACATAAGAGATCTTACGCGGCAAAAGGTATCGTTGTGGAGCATAGAGATATGATTATTATTCAAATTTATTTCAGTTAGTTCTGGATGAGACGTAGGGCTACTAGCGTCAAACATGAGAGACAGTAAATCAGCCTTGCTTTGTCCAGAACGGATGCCAAGAGCTTCATTCAAATCCAAACGACGAAGCCTGAAATATTACGTATACTTCCTACGTATAGTGAGTCCATCGTAAATCATAGAGATAGTGAACATGGGAGAAATATTGTAAAAATGAAAAGAACCGAACCTTTGGAGATATCTGAAAGTATCTTTCCCTGCTTTCTTAATTTCGTTCTTATTCAAATGAAGATATTCTATAGCTTGACTGTTTTTAAATGTTTCAGATGAAATTTCAGTAATGTCATTGTCAGTCAGGTTCACGGATGAGAGTGAATTGAGAGATGCTAGAAATAATCGAATTACTTTTATAAATGATCAGATGATCTGACTTGTTTCAAAGATATTATTGCTAATATCCCCAAAGTTGCTTCCAGTGAAAATTAAAGTTTCTAGATAAGGAAAGGCTTTGCTTTGAATCTGAAGAAATTGAAAATCTGAAAAAACGAAAAGGGTTCTTACTTGACGGAACACATCACTTGTGTGACGAGATCCTCGGCAGTCAATGTTCGTCCTATCACATCGACATTTTGATGGACAAGATGCCTCTTCATTAGTAGGAATACGGGTCCGAGAACGTTCTCAAAAAATAAAAACATTCTTTTCTATTTTTTTTAACTAACCAGCAGATATAGATAATACAACAATCAACAAAATGAAAAAGCGATCAATCATCTCCTTTGTCCACCCAGTTGAGTTGGCCCTGAAAAGATGAATTATGAAATGTGAACGAACAAAAAGAAAATAGATGTCCACAGCCATTTCTATATAAATAAACTTAACGAAACTGTTATACGATTCAAGAGAAACTTCAGAAAACATGTAATTCATCAACACAATCGCCTTCAACGGTAAAAAAACCAAATGAAAGAACAAGAGAATTATTAGTTCAACCAAAATTATCCAGTTTTGTAAGGAGCGGACAACCATGATTAAAATCGTACGGAGAGCGAGCGAGAGAGATCGAGAGAGAGGAAAAGAAGATAATTTCCAAGAATCAGAAGACTTTTGGTGATGGTCTTGTTGACTATCATAGGTTAAGGACCCTTTACAATGATGCATATGACGGAGAACGGAGAAATATTCAATGTGAAGATAAAAAATCTAAATTTCTTTCTTGTTTTGATAATACAAACCTTTTTGGTAAGGTTAAAGAGAGTGACAAATCTGACTTTGTTCACCGATGATGACAACATGTAGAACTGTGGAAAAGAAGTAATGCAGAAAATATTGTTCATTCCAAAACTAATATGTCATAGCGGCCAAAAAAATGTTTGAGAGACGACATTTGAGTTGAAGAAAAAAGAAATGTTTCGAAGTTTCAATTCAAATTTTTGAAGGAAAAACGAAAGAAGTAGAGGAACGAGAACTGAATATGAATGCTCACAATGATACAAGCGACAACTCATAAGAACAATATGACCATAATGAGACGAACCAATCTGACCTAATGATGAAGAAGTTCAAATGAACAAAAATGGCATAGAGGGAGATGCATATATATAGAGAAGGACAATAGTTCCTAGGAAGGTCAACGACCTGTGTCGTTCAGATACAAGCTTCTTCCAACTCAATGGTATTTCCACAAACCAAATAAGGTAATTTGAGGTCAAAGCACGCAATGGAAGGTGACCGCAATGACGTCACAACGCGCATGTGCCATCTACTAATTGAATTTTCTAATAAAAAAAAACAAAACATAATGGAAAAGTCGGGCAGATCAGAACAGTATGTTATGCATAAAAGTGGAAAATGTATTTGAAGACTATAAAAAATCAATAAAATTTGAACTGCGGTCTGTTGAGCTAACATATTCAAACAGTGGAAGGAGTGTTGTGAAATAGTGAAGTTAACAAAAACTTTGATTGACAACGACAGTTTGTGAAGATTTCAAAGTAATATTAAGTTTTAAAACTGATCTTAGAACTCAGGAGGGGGAGGAGGAGGATGAGGAGAAGGGAAAGGGGAAAGGAAGCAGAAAACAGAGTCATTGACCATACGAAAACAGAAAACGTTAAACAATGCCTGATACGAAAAAAACTTATTTTAGTTTAAAAAAATGGATAATTAGGAAGATTGGTGGTCATAGAAGACGAATACGTTCGACAGAGGTTGAAATAGCTACATAACATGAAAAATAAAATGATATTCTTAGTGTTCGAAGGTTTTCGTACGATTGGAAGGTTACAATCATCGTAAGTTAATTGATATGTCATCGCCTTAGATGGACATAAGATTGCAATCTCTCAATGGGAAAATTCATACGAAAGATGAACGTTTGTATAGAAAGAGGAGAGTTCAAATGATTGGTAAGAAAGTAAGAAATTCAAACAAAATACGTGGAAGAAGAAGAAGCTTAGACGAACGAAGGTAGAGTTTCTTCGAAATTATGAACGATCTTCTCTTCCCCTTCTTCTTCGTCTCTCCTTCTCTCTTTCTCACTTTGATTGTCTTTTCTTACTATTCATCTCACTTCTCCATTGTGATCAATCGATATTTGAGGTTGAGAGAAATAGATAAAGAAAGAGATCAAAGAAGAAAGAGGAGGAGACGGCCATTTCTCAATGAGACATTACATTCATCTTTTATCCAATCTTTCCTTTCACATTAAGATAGACGAGGTGATGGCGGTTAAGAAGTCAAACTTATGAGAAATGAAGATGTAAACGAAGAAGAATGTCACAGAAACTTCCATCCACCTTCCTTATATTATATTGAAGTCAATATAAGGAAGCTGTCTACTTCAATAAATTCTTCTTTTTCCGTGATAAATATATCATAGATATTTCACACCGTTTCATGTCTATTGCATCAAAAAAATCTTGAAACTTCGCAGAAAAATTGTGAAACGCTCGGACAGCCTAGCCAAATTTTGATGAAAAAGGAACCAACCGCATTCCGCCAACAGAAATCAAAATGAAATTGCTGCACGTTTCTGAGTTAAGCTCAATGCGCGGTTGTAACTTCTCACCTATTTCAATCTCAGTGTAAGATCGATTGATTGATAATGTGATCAGCGGAAAAGGATGACTGCTCAGTAAATCATAGTCGCAATCATATTCGTTTCTCTCATGTCTTCAAATAGTTCTTTGAACTCATTGGATAAACTATTCAGCATCTGGATAGAAACACGAAACGATTTCATATTCTTTTGACATTCGCCGTTTGCTTCAGAAGCTTGAACCCGCTCAAGTTCAGTTGATTATGATACAAAGGGGCGAATGCCGGAGAGACATATATTAACTTTTCATTGATGAGTTATAATATAATTTGAACTTATCTTTAGCAACCTAATGATTTGTGATCGAAAATACTGTTGGGGGGGAGGGTGAGTGATGCGACGAATTCTACGAGACCTGTATGAAATCAAATTAACAGAATAAAAGACATGTGTAGCAAAGTGTCTAGTCGTAAACAAATTAGAGATTGAAACAAAAATTTATTTGGTGAGCAAAACAGTCTTTGAATTTTATTTTGTACATATTAATGTTTGACTTCCGATTTGACACGGAAAGTCGTTAAACCCGTCGGATTCTTGGTAGAAGTCTCATAGCTATTATTAAGTTTATCTGATTAAGGAACATCTCCATTCATTGTGTTTATAATCTGTGGAGGAGTAGGGTGAATACGATTTGGATGAGTAGCCACTCGTAGAGGTGGTAGTCCAGGTGGAGCAAGTCTGCTACTGAAGAACACGTATCAATATTCTGGTAACTTGAAACAAACCGATCAGCTGTGTAGGTACCCATAGGTGTGGGTGGATCCGATAAACGCTCATCTGAAACTGCAACTCAATTGGGTTTGAGAAAAGTTCGTCGGAAGATGGTAGGGATAAGGGAGTTAAGCAACAGTAGACATACGTTGAATACGCGGGAGTGGATTACTACTGCCAGTTGTTGATTCCTTTTGCCTCATCTGAATATAAGGATGATTACTGGAAGACGCATTGGAAAATACTTTATGCCGTTGAGTTAAGATGTAGTTGTATGTTGATTGTCCGTTTTTGTCTGGAATATTCATCTCTTTATCGTTAATAATTCCTTTCCTACATAATTTCATATGGAACCACAAAAGATGAGTGGTAGCTACGAGAATGGTCGCGGAGAAGAAAAAAAGTAAAATACAAGCTGTTAACCATACGATAGAGCTGAAATTCGGCCAAAATACAAGGTCTATGGAAGTTGAGGTAGCTGTAATTGAGAAAAATAAATTTTCAGATTTCCATAAACAAACTTTTTGTAAGAAATTGGTCGAAATTTATCGTCCAAAGTATTGTCATAGCCAAATAACAAACAGAATGAAGGAAAGAGTTGAGCGCGATGTAAAAAACAAAAGCGATGAAGAGCCTGAAAGATTCAATGTTTGTAAGCAGATTTTTAATTAAAAAAAGTAGGCGGCTGGGAGAGTATTGAGACGAAAATTTCAAAGATCTTGAGCAGTAGGACACAAGCAATCTTTGTGTGACCAAAGTCAAAGCTTTCGCTATACCCCGTAGCCAAATTTCAATCTCTCTCCAATTCCGATCTCCGGTTTCAGTTTTGCATTCATTTTTTGAAAAGAAAGAAAATGAAAAAGGTAAAGCTGAAATTACTTGTAATTGCGACTGCCAACACATGCATTCAACCAGGTGCAATGATGATCGAAACCAGCTATACACGCGTTACACTGACGACAATGCTTTGTTCCTTTTGGACTGAAATATTAAACATTAGACCAAACGAAGAATAAAGGTGACGAAAAGATTAATTTGATGGGCAGGAAGAGAACTAGTTAAGCTTCTCAATAAATTCAGGAGCGTTTGAGGGAAAACTGAGAAAAAGCGGATCGGATGAGACGAAGAAAAGATTGAGAAGCATTGAATTATCATTCTCTTCCACATTGCACAACTGAATGATACCCTGTTATTATTATTATTCAAGAGAGGAAAATAATCCGAGGATAATCAAAAATTATTCTCAAAAAGGACGTTAAAAACGGAAAAATAAGAATCCTTTCGCTTCCACCATTCCAAATGTCAAAAATCGTTCAATAGTTTTCACATTTAGAGATAAGTTGAAATCAAACTCACGCTTTAATCTGACATATTTGGCATTGCTCATTCTGTATGACGTGACCGTTAGCCTGAGGTACAAAGGCTTTTGGTTTAAACCCTGCAATAGAAAGTGTTCCAAGTTTCATAACATAACAATAGGTATCTGTTAATCTGAAGCTTCTAGCAATTAATCGCTGATAATCGAACAACCTTTGAGCGTTTCGAAAATTAGCTTTTGTTCAAACTTTGCCAATTGAAATGGGCTGAGATCAAGTTGTGCTGAAGTCCAATCAACTCTTTTATATGAGCAGATTTCGAGTGATATTCTGTTTCTTATCAAAAACAAAAGGAAATTTCGATATCGAACAAACTTATAGAAAAACCTTTTGACAAAAACTAACTGACCGTGTTTGCGTTTTTCTAATAATTCATCCATTATAGAATTTGTGAAGTGCATTGTAATGAGCAGAACGATGAGCGCAACACCGCAAAGGAGTAGAACTGAAAAATATTTGAATATATATACATATCTGTTTAGTTTAGTGAGAAGTCATTCAACACAACTCGTCTGAACTGGTACGAAGAGCAACGTGGAGCTTCATCTCGAAAAATTCGTAGCAGCATATTGCATGGGATACATATATTTTCGAGATGAACGAAACTGAAAATTACACATCCTGTTTTGTAAACACAGAATGTGAAGTACACAAATCAGATCGGAAGTAGAAAGAATCAAAACGCTCAACGTTACAAGGAATCTCAACCAGCTCAGTCAGACCTACTTCTCTTACAGCCGGATTACTCTTGGTATTTGATTTACAGAGTGCACTAACTCACCTATTGAGCAATAAGGAAAGATTAGCGCTGATGTGAGAAAAACTGACAATGGCACAAGAACTACGTTCGTCACATAGACAGATATCTGGAGAGCAGTTAAACTATGGCTCATAATTATCAAGTCCTCCGAAGGCTGCCTTGGCTGTAGCTAGGACGAGCCAGCAAAACTGGACTAAGAAGTCCGATTGAAACTTCAGTTGTTCACCTATAAGAAAGTTAGTTAATCAGGTTGCTATTATCGTGGAAACAGATGAAATGTGTAAAGAACAGTAGATAAAATATACAACAAGAATTGGCAGTCGTAGTGTTTGCAAATAAATTCTAATGAATCAGATCATATTGAATCTTTAGTGAACACATAACTTATATCATGACGTGTATCGAAGAAATATATTAGAATTTCGATAAGGAACGGCTAGACACCTGCGTCAGAATCAACATATGCTCTGACCAGAAAAGCCGATATGCTACAAAAAGCTGGTACAAATCCTACATTCACAGCAAACAATTAGTTTTTGCTACGCATATTCAAAAGCAAGTGTGAATATATATCGAGGAAGGGGAAAAGAGAGAGGGAAGAGTAGGAGGAGCAACAGCCTAAAGTCTGTGGTTGAAGCCACACATACGTTTTCTCTTCAAAGGGAAACTTGACCAAATGCATCGCCATGACAACCGTAAAGCACCCTAACCGTAGACAAGTAAAAGCTTTCAGACTCTCTTCTAGACATTAAGAAAGTCAACGAGTCAGACTCATGCTCTGCGAATTATTGAACTATATAAAATTGAAATCCTAATATCTCAACCAACCGCAACATTTATTTAGAGACCAAAAGCCAAATATTACCAATTACCAACCCATGGAGTGGTTAGATAATATATGCACGCGTATAAGAGCAGGTTTATTTCTAATTGGCAACAGTCGCGAACATAGAGATGAGAAACATCATTATGAGAAGACTAGAAGTTATAAACAGATTTGAATATGGTATTGGGAAGCCGTGGTGGAAGATGAAATCCTAATGCAAAAAAAAGACTATCGCGCTTGATGAAACATTAAAATGTAGTCCTTTAACAAATATATAACACAATTCAACCAATTGCAAAACACCTTCAATTTGTCCTTTGAATGTATAAAATTCTGGGGATAACATTACTCTTGTGTCTAGCAAGGGTTTCAAAGCTCTAATCGCTCCACTAAAAAACAAATACTGTTCCATGAACTAACAAGCCCGGAATAAGAATTTATGAACCACATACTTAAAGAAAACAAATACTTTTCATAAAAAGTGCTAAAGAAAAGCTAAAATTCTCAACTCCAATCCTATTTCGTGGTGGGAAAGGTGAAATATGTCGCTCATTTACGCGAAAAACGTTTAGCTGGGAGCAATTTCCCATAAAATCAGCGTCTAATTTGAATTCACTAATCTAAAATCATAAAATAGCTCATATACTCCAGCCAATCATTATAATCATCCATCTATAATTATGGCAAAAATTTCGATTATGAGTGAGCTCATGATGGAACAACCGCGCATGACTTAGCAAAATGAGCAAATGGACTGCCGTCACCGAAGACAGAAATCGAAATCACGTACACACGTCGGATTAAAAATGCAAGCTTGTTCCGCAATTAATAAAGAATGGTTATAAGAGTATGTCATTTTACTTTCTTTCTTGTCTGTAAATCTTTCGGAAGGCAATTTATATGAAAGGTACAAACTCATTTTGCTTTATGGACTTCCTATTTTCATCTCCAAACCTCCTTTTGTATTGCCAAACTCGTAAACCAAATACTTTCCTTAATGATGAATAGCTGTTTGCTGACAAGATATGATTTTAACAAATATTTCTCAAACCATTGGGCACAGCCCAAGCTTAGGTTTCTTGGCTCAAAAAACATTTGAAACTTCATTACAGATTGTTCAGAAATAGTTCATACAATTTATAAACAAAAATGAATTTAATTTCATTCACTTTGCGTCCCTCGTTGGCCAAAACATTTTGTCTTTTTTTGTCCTTAAAAAATCGCACAATCGTTAAACTCTCGCCGAAATCGACGATGACAGCTAGCCGTCTCTTCCGTTTCGGAAGATTCCACTGATTTTTCGTTTCCTTCCACTCTTCAACTGCGCGTCAGCAATTTCTAGATGTATTTAGCTTGGCGGACGGGAACAAAGCACTTCTACATTCGAAGCACTACAAAGTGGAAAGGACAAGGTGCGAAAGTTTAGTCGATGCAACATAGACGGTTTGAAAAAAATCTAAAAGCACTAAATAGGGTATAATTCACTTTATTCCATCTTCCAAAGCAACTATACTAAAGCCATGCAAAAGAAAAAAAACGATGATATTCACCTGAACAATACAAAAAAATTATAAACTCGGTAAAACCTTATTAATTGTTACAATTATTAACAAAAGAAACGAACTGAGTAAGTACGAATTATAAAAAAAAGTTTCTCCAAGAAACTATAACAAAACATGCAAAGTTTGAGACCGAAAAAGGTAATACCAAATCTTATTAATTACTGTTCTAGAGAACACGGAACATGGAAATGGAACTTTCAACCCAGTAACTAGCTTAAACTTTGGGTCAGACCATTACCCAAACGTTTGAAGACAATGGCAGAAACGCCGACTTGGCTGCTGTGATGGGGACAAGACAAAACAAAAAATTAACACGAAACTTCTGATATATGAAACTCGAATGGTGGTGACCGGGTGCATGTGAGTGGATACGAGAAAACTGCTTCTGATTCAATTTCCAATAGAGAATTGGAAAATGTCCTACTCTTCGGTATAGGGCTACCAGAAAAAATATATTCTACCATCATTCATAAGCTGCGTCAGGACTAGACCGGCCTAGCTAGCGTAGACGCTTGAAGACTCAGACGAAGCGATTATACTGCTGAAGAGTGTAATATCTAGCTGGCTCATAGTAATGATGTCGGAAGCTGGAGAGCCATGGAACTCCCTCAAGCCAATCGGAGCCTTCATTGCGCTAAAAAAAAACTTGTCATGCTGGTAGCAAATATTAACCAAATGAAGTCATGTAATGAAATGAAAAGCTCCCTCACCTCAAATATCGTGATAAGTAAGGCCAATAATAGAAGGGTAATCAAAAAAGATACGAAAAACACACTAGTTAAGCTAGTTTTGTTCGAGCTAACAGGTACTGCAGAAACATTATGTATTTCCTTTTTATGTGAAGTTCCGTTTTGATAAACGACAGACTAGAACAAAGAGAAACTAATGACTATTTACTTCAGAACTCACGTTTCCGTTCATTTTCTTCTCTGACCTATCAAGAATGGGAGTGCTTGTGACCATTTTAGAAATGGCTTCTTTAGACATGTCTTGGTGAAGTTCCTCATTTGTCACAGCCTGAATAAAGTTTTGTTACAAACTGAAAGAATTCTAGAAGTAATAAATTATTCTTTCCATTCGCACATCCTATAAAGGCTAACGTAATCGATAGAGCTTGATTCAATAAAAAATAGTACGTTCACGCGTTAGCCAATTAAAGCAAAACGAAATCGAAGCACAACATGACAGCAAAAAACAAGCACAATGGAGGGAAATCCCAAACCAAGCCCGAATTTAGAACGGAAGTTACACAAAATGTCATTATGAGAAGCTTTCCAACAGAAATTATTGGAACAAAAACCCGAGATTCTTACCGCAGATTGATCTACTTTTTCATACTTGACAAGATGAACAACGAACGAAGCCTGAAAAATGGTGAAGCTCCCTTATTAACTCTGGAGAATTCAGTTGTTAGGTATGACAAACAATGTTAGATTAACAGTACTTAACGCTGTTTTAATACATGCATAACGTTTATATACTCAAGCAAGTTCTCTAATCATACTTGTTCTTCAAGCTCCTCGACACTTCTTTGGAAACATTAACCTCTCACATGAAAAGAAAAAAAACTCACAGAGTCATTACGGCCTGAATCAATAGATTTATTCATGACTTCATTAGCAGATGAGGTGGATGGGAATTGCTTGTAGACCATCGGCGATTCATCAAATATGATAGGTGACCGAGTGGATTCAGATCGAACTAAAAGGCATCTTGAGCAAGAAAACTTCAGAACATTTACCTCGAGCCTTGTCATCTTCCATTGAAACAACTGACTTATCATTATTGTTATCGACGGTCTTGGTTAGTGGGGAACTGATGACGTTCGCTTGCAAACTCTTATTTAGCCAGGGTTGTTCCTGACGAGGTTCATGCTTAACGAGAGGATACCTCTCAAACGAAATTGTTGTTCTGAATTTTAAATGAATAAAAGTAAGAAAATCAAAACTTACTCGTTGAAAGAAAAGTCATGGTCGGTATCTGAGCTTGTGTTCAACCCGCCATTATGAGAAACCTCAATTTCACGTAAAACTTTTTGTGAAGGATAACGGAAAGTCGAGCCTCTCGAAATCAATGGTATTCTCGGCCTGCAACCAAAGTTCGAGCTGAAACTCAAGTCTCGAAAACGTACTTGGAGAATATCGGCTTAATCATTTGAGCACATTCCTCGTTGAAAAATGCTTTTTGAGAAAGAATATGACTCCAAAGATGTTTTGCGAAAGTTCCATTGGGACAATTATATTTCAGAACCAGTCGAGATTTTTTATCCTGCTTAGACAAAGTAAACAAACATCTCGTACAAAACAAAGCTTACCTTTTCCATAGCGGTTTCAGCCATATCGCCGTTCAATGAAGGAGGGACATATTGATCTGAGAGTAGAACGCGTATTTCTTTACCGATGTAATCAGCTTTAGATAATTGTTCCCTGAAAATGAAATTGGACCACAATGTAAACATTGAACTCACCAAAGGATGCTATGAGTTTTCTGGTTATTATGGAAGATTAAAATTCCACGATGGTTCACACCCAGGAATACGTCCCCACCGTCTTTGTAATCCTAGAGCAACAGAAATTAATGTAAGATGGTTGAAGAACAAACCTTCACGGTGTATGGATCGAACCCATAAGTATCTACAGCGGACGCTCTTTTCAGGAACTCGCATTCTGCCTCTCCTGTCGACATGCCTCTGAAGTGATACAATCAATCGAAAACTATCTCACAATAAAGACAGTTTTTGAATATTTCTCCAGTTTCTCTCATTTCTCGAAACGAGAAATAACAAATTCATTTTGCACCTTTTGAACATTACTGCCAAGTGGGAAGTTTATTGAAGCTTCACTTAAATTATCTCAAAATGCATTATATGAAACAGTCTTAAACAGACTGCCATCATAGAATTAGTCAGCTATACACATTCTCAACATTCTTACAAACAATAGGAATGACGTTTTTATAACCTTACTCACCTGTACGATTTATGTAATTCGGAAATTTTTTCCTCATTTCTGGGTGTTTGACGTAATAACAACGTATATTGGGAAACGTAATTCCCTGAATGTTCTGCCTCATTATAATCCCCAAGTTGTGCTATAATGGAATTTTATTTTTGCAATTTTTTTCAGGAAAAGGAAACCTTGCAATATCAGAGCGGCTAATTCAACTGCTTTCGCTTGTGGACAGTATAAACGTCCATGGAACAGATCTCGTTGCAATTGAACAAACAGCTGATATCTGAAAAGATACTATAGCAATACATTTTCCAATAAAAAATTGAAAATAGTTTCTGTTGTCTTTTCTACTTGTCAAACAGTTGAAAACAGCGGGAGCAACGAAAAAGTAAACAAATCGTGAAGAAAACATTATTTTAAAAAGATTTTAACTATGAGAACATGACTGATCGACCGAACGCGAAAACTCCATGGAAGGGAGCAATACATAGCTGTAGATAAAAACCTACCTGGTGTATAAGTCCGAAAGAAGCGTAGGTTGAGCAGGATAGAATCGGAATCGAAGACGTAAAAAGACGGTATCCCCTAAAAATGGAAATACGTAAAAAAGGAAAGAGTTTTCAGAAGTTGAATGGTTTCCAAGTTCAGTGTTGAAACTACTGTTACATAAAATCCTCAACATTAAAACGTAAAAACTTGCCTTTTGTATTTTTTGTGATATGAGAAATAGGACGTGATAAGTCCACCCAGTACTGAAACAAAGATAAGAAATGACTTTGCGCAATCGAAACAAACCCGATGTCTATTGTGATCCTGATAACGGAGTCCAAAGTAATCTTTATCCTTAATGTTTTTTACTTCACATATGTAATCAAGAATAGATTGGGCTGGCAGCGACCTCTGCAATCGAGTTAAATAATTATTCCATTTATTATTATTCATAAGTCTGATTATTTACACCCTCACATACAATTATCAATAGGCATTGTTTTCCTCTTTCTCTAATCGATTGACATGACGTATATGTAGAGCATTGCATTTTTTGTTAGCCTTACACATACATAAGTCTACTCTTCATTCGCCTTATTCGTTCTCTCTTCCCTTTTCTTGTTCTTCTTGTCATAAAGAGGAAAACAGTCCCAATTCTTCTCAGTGTCTCGCAAGACATTTCCTACAACCCGAATTGCAAGTCAACGGCAGAATCGAGGTCGAAGGAAACGAGAATTAACACATGTTAATGTTATGAACTAGAGAAAGGTTCGAAAGAAGTGATAGGAATGATCGGTTTATCAGTATTTCCAAAGCTTAACAACCTCAACACAACGAAACAAACGAAATCAGTGCAAAATATAAAATTTGATGGCTAATGGTTTCTTATTCCTCAATTTCATTCTTTCTTTTGATAGTTCCAAAAGAAAAAGAGAAGGTTACGAGAATGAGAAACACAAAGAAATAGAGAGATATTTATCCGCTTATAAATCCACAAAAAGATTGTTGTGTAAAGATTTGCCAGCTGGCACGTCTGCACTTGCTACTCCAACAGCTCATGAAGAGCAAAAAATACAAAACGATGTAATATAACACTAACTACTTGATAATGCTATGTAAAACTGCTGTGCTCCACATATGTACAGAACAAATCATGCAAAATATCGATCATGTCGACAACAGCAACGGTCCTCGTTGGTTTAGTCGTCGCAGCAACCAACTAGCTTCACAGTCTAACCCCTCCCTTTAAACTCTATCTTTCCACTCTCTCGCATTAAATAAAGAAATTTTAATCGTAAAACCTGTGACTAACCTTAAATTCGTTAGAAATCGAATCTGAATCATTTAAAAGTAGCACAGTTACTTTGATATCCTTAGACGAAATGAAACTACTTCTAGCTGATAATCGGCCGAACAAAGACGAAGAGGAAGTGTTATGAGGCATTTTTGTTTATTTGATGTTTCTTAGAGTGGGCCAGCTCCAATTCGCTCTACTTCAAACTTTATAGCAGAGCCTCATCTAATAGACTGAAAAAACCAAAATTGTTTATACAGGGATTTTTTTGAATTGAAAGATGGTATATAAGGGAACAATAAAAAGGCGTGGAAAGATTAGGAAGATGTGTTAAAGAACGGGAGACAAGAGGTAGAAAGAATGGGAACAAATGATTTGAGCTCGCGCGCGACATGAAAAACATGCCCCCCTCTCCGCTTCTAGCCACGCCTCCTCCCAGCACCCCAATAAACCCAGCCTCCATGCCGAAGACGGCAACTAGGCTCATCGTGCTGGGACCCAATCTGAAGGTCGTTCGTAGCTGAATCAGACTATCCGAATAAATCTAGCATTCAACTAATGAAAAAAATTCAGTAAAGGCTCGAAAGAATTTCTTATCGCAAACGGCGTGTAATCAATTCCCTCATATAATGTATGGCGAAGGAGGCAAGCTTAAAGTAGTAGCGTGCAAGCAATGAGCAGTTATTTCCAAATGCAGAAGAGCGGTTGTTCCGGTCTATTTCTCTCATACCAGAATTACTATGTGAAAGAAGGCAATAAATGATACCATTTCAAGAGAAATAAGTACAGAGAGCTAATACTTTAATAAGTTTAACAGAAATCGATGAGCAACATATGTAAGAGAGAGAGAGAGAGAGAGAGAGAGAGAGAGAGAGAGGGAGAGAAATAGATAGATAGAAGAGTCTGGATGAGTGTGCGAACAAGCATCAACTGAGTCAAGCCGTATAAGTGAAAGAAGCTTCAAAAGGATGAGACGCTTGTCCAATAATTTCCTGAAGCAAGAGCCTGATGCCGCCAGCGAAAAAAGAAAAGATGATGTTGTCAGCAGTGCCGACGGAATGAAAGAATATGATGAAAACTAAAAACTTCAGGCAGCTCTTCGCATATTATTACCAAAATGGGAAAAGTATTCGCAGTCTGTCATAGAAATTGCTACTCTCGGTTCGCTTTCTGTCTCTCGCTGCATTGTTTGTGCAATGGCAATATATATTTCTATGCAATGCTGCTTTGCCTCCCTTCTTCTCATTGGCACATAGTTACTACTTACTAAATTTTACAAGACAACTTCTCTTTCTCTTTTTCATCAACTCTATTCTTCACAGTCTCGTTCTTCTCTCTTACCTTCAGAAGAAGAAAAAAATAGAATGAAGAGATAAACATGAGAGAAAAGAAAAAAACATGTAGAACAATATTGCAAAAGCCGAGAGATTAAAATATGAAGAAAGAACTCTTCCTAATCACATTAGCGCGCCAAATACAAAAAGCTTTGACTTCTAAGTAATGAATGTGTGAAATGAAACATTCTATTGTCTTGAAGAAGGCTTCACGTTCTATTCTAACGACAAGTAAGTAAAAAATTCAAAGATTAAGTGCAAAGGAAGAGGTTTGCGACAACAACAAAAACATATTTTCGTTGTTTAGCTCGTGATTCAAAACTATTGTTATTGCGAGAAAAAGCATGAAGCACAGCATAATAGCATCAATCTCAATTGCAGGCAGAAGCTAATAAAATTAAAATATAAACAAACAAAGCACAAAAATAAATAAAATGTTTCATAAGCTTCCAGCTTACCGCCTACTTTCATCAAATTCAAATTGCGGAGTGTGGCGTCATTTATTTCCGTCAACCAGCCGTGCAGCTGAATGGTATGTTTTGACGTGTAAACGCGGGAAATTCAAATTCTATCCGCGTTCGTGACGCCATGCCTTTGATCATAATGAAGTTGATGTTTAGCTAATCCAGTGATACTCTCAAGGAATTAAATGTACAGAAAAGACATCAATGAAAGGATCTATCTTTTGTGTGGTATGCGTACCATTTGGACATGTGTCTGTTTGAACAACAATAGAAATTGTCAAAAAAAAATTCCCATTGGACAGTTATGGAATCTAGTTTGGAACACAGGACTCTTCGTTGTGATTAAGAAATGGTAGTACAGATTAGTACCGAAAAGAAAACTAATGAGTGACATGCTGATTTTAGAAATTATTGTTGAACACGCAGTAGAAGGACAGAAAGATGAAATAAATGATTTTTTATTACTTTGTATGTGGTTATTAGGATATATTAATTAATCAATTAACTCATGCGTATTAAAGTGAAGCAGAGAGAGCCCAGTAGTAAGAAAGCAACCATCGTTCGGATGAATTCCAGTTCAAGTGACAATATCTCTAAAGAAAAAATAGTTGATGAGAGCGACTATGTTGAAGCATAAAAAACTTGTTCAAAGCATTAGTTTTACAATCTTCAGCACATCAACATTAAGGGTAATTAGTGTTGAAAAGAGAAAAAGAACTAAGACATAAATTTCGAAAGCTGACCTGAGGAATTCTTCTTTGTAAGGATGTTCTCTATCATCTTGAAAAACTGCCATTTGGACAAAATAGGAGAGAAAACGAGGAAACGTTGTTTTGTCTCATACGGAAAATGTTGGATAATTAAGTGAAAGAGTAAGCTGACGCATGAGCTGATCCAAATGACGATCACAAACATGTCTGGAATGATTTTATTTGTTACTTTTTGCCATTTACTAATGCCATACCTAGCCCGGGTAAACTATCTGACAGCATTATGACTTTTCCTAATGCCAAACGTACACAAATGCTTGTCGTGTAGACAAGTGATACGATCACGTAAATGCTCCAACTGTAAATAACATCATTTTATAAAACCATCTCTCTCTCTCATCTCCAATCCCCTTGCTTAATCAGCTATTCAGCTAATTTGGAAGACAGATGGGCACAGCCATGAATGGATTAGTGATGAACACAACTTTCTGTTATGATGGTCATTTAAGAAATGCATTTAGAAAGATTGCTGTTTTTTTTTGTTTGTCAGTCATCTTCAACTCCGAATAAAAAAGGCACGTCATTATCAAAGAAGAATCAAAAATTCAATATTCCACGATAGTCAATGCTTCTCAATTGTTGGATTAGCATACCTGGACGGTGTTATCCATGATGCAATCAAAACTATAGCTGATATAAGCACGGATGAAAGAACAACGATTGGCAGTGTCCATCCTGCGCGAAGAAGTTCAAGACGGCATTCAACTAAAGACCTTGAAGAGATTGAATTACCACCTCCGATCGTTCGAGAGCTGCTCACTTACATCATTATTTTGTTGTCTTTTACTTCATCAACAATTATATTTGTAGCGTTGAAAGGATCGAAATATCGTATTTTTTGCAATCCATTCCGAATTTCCCACCCATTTATCATATCAAAAGCGCTATCTTCATCTTCATACATGGCTGAAACATATTAGTTTTCTTCCTTATAAGTGTTTGATACCTACGAGCCAAACTGTACGCGTGCAAATTTGGAGTTGATACTCTCATGCGACCCTAAACGACATAAACACCGTTAATCATTTCTATGCTTAAGCTACTCGGAAGGTGGGATCCAGCAATAAGAAATGAGAGAAACAATTCATTTTTTCGAATGGAAATGATCCGGCTGATTGACAATCGAAAGCTCCATCGAAACGAAATGACATCGTGACTTTGGCTCTCTGAAAATAAACAACCGATCAACCTATACGAAACGGCAAAAATGAAATTGATTTTTTGAAGTAGAATAAAGTTGTGCGATTCTATCTTCACAGAAAGCATTCTCTTTATTCTCAAGCCCACTAGGGGTTCCCTTTCTTAACCAACCTGATACCTCTCCGGGTCTGTGACTCTCAACCTAACTGTTCGGCTTTTAAAAGCGTATATTGGGATGCGTGAAGAATAACCCCTATAACACAAACTTCATTATTGGAAATGCAAATAATAACACTTCGATATTATGTTAACCAATGGCATCCACACACGGTAATTACTTGGAACTACGCTAATCATCTTCCCTTTTTCATCAGCTGGATTCCAACCCAGTCTGTCATCATACCAACCCTGCTCCCGGATATATATGAAAAAAATTGTTCAAATAAAAACTTACCAATGTCATAATTGAATTAAAACGAACAGTGGGATTCTGAACTTTAGAAATACTTAAATGGTGAAGGTAGAGGCTGAAAGAGATGTCGAGAGGTCCGTTAGAGGATGGTCGTTTCTATCAAAAGCATCAGTCACTTGAAAAATGGTTCAAACTCACATCAGCCCTGTATCCATTGAATAGGCGATCAAGAAACTCATCCTGCTCTGCCATGTAAGTGGAGTTCATCTCGTCTTACAAAAACAGATATTGCTATTACAAACCTAAGCCCTCACCATCAACTGTCATTGGCATTCTAGCTAATACTAACAAGCCTCCATGGTACAATCGTAAGTTTAAAAATAAGAATAACGTGAGAATCTGTGCTAACATGCCGGTGAAAATTTTTATCAGAAATGAAAGCAGTGAGCTTACAGATTTTAGTTTGTAACCCAATCTAGTCAGACGTAAACCATCATAGAGGTCACATCCCTCCTCCCAAACCAAATTGCAAACGAAAAATATACATCATCAAGGTTTATAAATATTAAAAGTATACAATAATACTCCCAACAAGGATAATCAACAAGTATTATACAGACTCGTTTCAGAGAATTTTTCTTTTTTTAGCTGCAGGTCTGTCGAACCCAGCCTTGGCTCCACCTGAAAAACATATCATATCTGATTGGAAACAGTGAAAAAAAAGTATTACCAGCTTTCTTATTAAAGAACTGTACATTCATAGCATTGGTTGATGCCCAAACACCCTGATGATCGGTGGTGTCTTCAGCGGTTAAATGTGTATATTTAGAACGAGAAGCTTTTCCAAAGTTTTTAACCTTCAAATAAGAAAATCCATCTAATTTCAATTGAAATCACTCTTAACCTGCATGACCTTAGGCAATACAGCTTTGTCAAAGACATCATCATTTGTGGCTTCCGCATAGTTTCTTTTGAAAAGCTTAATTTTTTCAGAATTACAATCGTTTTTTTCTTTTCATGAAAATACCTCATCATCTTCGTCCAAGAAGAAAGCTCCTCTATGGTAGTACTTTTGTAAAAACTTGTACTTTCCTTTCTCTTGCTTAAACACCATTTGAGTCAAGGAGTACAGTCGGGGAGATATACCTGATTAGTGATGATCTTAGGATTTGCCGCTAAATACTTCTGACGTTCCTCTTCAGTCATATTATGAATTTTTTCTAATTCTGCTTTCTCCTTAGCCATCGCCTCTCGCTCTTCTCTACAATGCACAGCTACGCATACATCTCACGACAAATCCTACCTGTTCCGCTTGATCCTTTTCATTTCTCTAATTTTCCAAGCTTCATAAGCTATATTTTCACTCTCATCATCCGTGTTTACGGACTCAAGCTTCAAATTATCTTCCTTTTTGCGTTTTTCAGTTTCCTCCTCGTCTTTCAGGACTTGTTGAACTAGCTGACTTTTATAAGTTAATAAGAATCACCTTATATAGCTCACCAGAACAGAATCCTTTTTTCTATCCTCAAGCTTTTTCGCATCTTCCTTTTTACGTTCTTCTTCATACAATTTTTGTTTTTCCATCTCCTGCAAGGTTATCCTGTCCTTTTTTCGAACGAATACCTATACAAGCATGAATAAACTAAGGTCGAATCGTACAATCTTACAGGTTTTAATCGAGGTAAAGCGTCATCTTCTTCATCGTCACTCGAAGTTTCTTCCTCACTTGTTTCTTCATCTTCATCTTCCTCGTCTTCTTCTTCGACAACTTCTTCTTTTATTTCCTTCAGTGATGGCGCTATTTGAACATCTTATTGCAGCGGTATTACCTTCTTCATTTCCTCTTCTCGTAACCTTGCCTTCTCTCTGAGCATTTGTCGTCGTCTCTCGTAACTTTCTTCATCACTTCCATCTTCCTCTTCCTGCATGAAACTTGGTTATTCTATGAGATTAGCAACCTCCTCACCACTTTGAGAGCTTCTTGCTCTTCTTGAAGCTCTAATCTCCGCATCCTTGCTCTTTGTCTTCTTTCTTCAATGTCTTCTTCTGTTTCTTCGACTTCAGGTTCTTTACCCATCACCTGAACAGAAGCTCCATAAAAATGTATAGAAGATGTCTAACCTCGGGTTCCTCAATTCTTCTTTCTTCTCTTCGATGATGTCGATCATCATCTCTGTGCCTATGACGACGCCTGTCATCGTCATTTCTTGAAAGGACTTATGCTAAATTTCTAAAAACTTATACTTACCTTCTTTTCTCACGATCACGATCTCTGTGTTCATTATGTTTTTCTTGTCTTTCTTCCTCATCTTCTGAATCTGATCTTGCATTCCGCGCGAATTCGGGACTTAACCACACAGTAAAGATGAATAAAGCAAAAGCTTTTCTTACGTTTTTCCAGCAACATATCTATGAACTTTAACTTTTTGCATAACCATTTGTCCTTTCTCATTTTTGATAGGTATAGCACCAGTTGTTGGAAGTCTGGAGGGTCCTAAGCTACGAGCATCTCCCTCTCTTTGTTCAAAACGGGGTACAAAATCACCCATATCTAAAACTAAACGCTTGATATTATAGAGAACAAGTAAAAGAGAACAATGTATAGTTTGTATTTCAACTACTGCTTGACAAAAATGGAAAAAGGCATAATTTAAATAAAACCTAAGACTGTTTGAATATACGAAATCGGACCATCCATTCATATTGGCGCATACTTGGTGTTGTTGGCGCAGAAGTAGAGCACCTGATTGTTTCATGAGGGAAAATGCATGCTTTTTAGACAATAAGAGGAAAAACTATTGTCCTATACATAGGAGGATAAGGAGATTGTTATAGTAATTGAGAGAAATGTAACTTCTGTTGTGCAATTCTTATGTCTAGTTCTATAGTTTTAGAATCTAGATACAAGTTATATCGTTTTTTGCCTGTTCAAAACATAGTAATTAGTTCTTACAATGTTGGAAATAGGGAAGTGCTGGTCAAAATCCAATTGGGAAAGAAAAAATGCATAACAAGTAAGAAGAGGATATTTATAGCAGAGAAAGAAGATTCCAATGTTCTCATCCACTGGACAAAGCTGGGTATGGTCATTCACACATGTCTTCTTTGGTGTTTTGGCCAGTTTCCCTCATGGTTCTCATTTTATTCCACCTATTTTTGAGATATTGAAACAAGTAGAGCTCATGTACACCTTGTGTTCGTTTGTGTTTCTTTGCGTTGTTGCCAATGTCTTTTTTCGCTATTGTCTTCGGAATATTGTTTGAAAAGCAAACATAATGTTAGAAAATCAGGAAGGAAGTTATATTGTGATCCGTACCGTACTCGTTCTTTGGCAAAGAAAAACATTTTTCTCAGGTTTTAACTTGATATATTTCTTTGTATTCCCAAAAGGGGACTGGAAACTGAATGACCTAATCATCCTTGAACATTAACCTCTGCCGGACTTATCAAAATTACTTCAAAAAGCGAGAGTTTTGTGTGAAGTTGTATAAAAACCCAGCTATCAACAAGTCCTTCCTTACTCCCTGTTCGCCAATAAGGTGTTTGGTCTTTTTGTTTTGTTTGATGAATTCACCATATCAATTATGTTTGTGAATGACGTTGTGGATGACAGGCTTGATGACAAGCCAGTGTTTAAGTTTCGGGAACGAAATCTTCAGCAAGTTCCTGGTTTATCACTGTGAATGTTCTCAGTGATTACGATCTATTTTAAAAGGTCATATTATCAATGGTGGCAGAGTTTTGGTTAATTTTTTAGACAAGTATCTGAAGGCACTGCTTTTGTTCTGTTCTCTGAAACAATTTTTTTTACTTCCATTCACTTTTCACATCTCATGAAGGAGGAGCTAAGTAAGCGGAAAGGCGTGTCAACTGCAAAACGGATCCCCTTCACTTTACCTTACCATTCTCCGAATTGGTAGAAGAAAACGATTTTAGAGGAAGAAAAACTACTAGTTTCATGTGCCTCTTAATACTATAATCTCAATTGGAAGAAACAAACTCTTGAGTTTAGAGCTTCCCGGTGAAACTTTTGCGTTCCCCTATTCCATCCTTATCATTATTTTTTCCATGCAGTTCACTTTGTATTTTGTTTATAATTGTTTTTTCTTTGCAGGTTGAGAGTGCAGGATATGAGTGTTTGGCAACTCACTTTGGTACTCGCCCTTCTGATTCCATGTGGTGTGTGCCAGTTTCTGAACTCTCTATCACTTGCGCCAAGCGATACCTCAACAGGTTCTTTCGTGAAATTGAAAATACTATGAGTTGATTTTGTATTTTCAAGGTGACAAATCATGGACTAAAGAAGCCATACGACGGCTATGGGTTGAACGCAAAAAAATGGGTCATACACCTCTTTTCCGTTATAAAGTAAAGATTTAAGTATGAAATAGCATTTCTTACTAGCTACCATACAGTATCCTGCTCAACCAAATGTTGAAATATTATTTAAAAATGAATCAGCGAGTATGACAGGAAGCTTGAAACATCGCTATGCATGGATGTTAATGATGTGGGCCTTGATGGAAGGACATGTAACGCAAGGTTTTCGTCTTTCCTTAGACCGATGTCTTACTCTATCTAACAGGACGAACCGTATATGAAGCATCATCTGGCAATACTGCAGCGTCCCTAGGATATATGTGTCGTTTAATTGGAAGCAACTTTACAGTGATTGTAAGAAAAAAAATCAGCTTACATACATCATATCGAACAATCATAAATATGATTCATTACAGGTTCCTGAGACGATTGAGGCGGTGAAACAACAACATATTGAAGAATTTGGAACCACTGTTGTGAAAGTTCCTATTTCTCAAAGGTATTATTTAAGTTTTTTTTTAATTTTTTGCGATTCAAGACTTGAGCGAGCCCGCGAAGAAGCCGAAACCAACAATGGTTTTTTCATGAATCAGTTCGGAAATGCTGATAAGGCAGAGGACTACCATGAAAGTTGTCAAACTGCTTTGGGTTTTCTTAAGATACATTTTCAGCTGGCGATTATCAACTTGAGTCTTTGAATATGTTTCATGAAATTTTATCACAAATGCATGATGATCCTGCCCAGATAGTAAAGGTTCCTCATTACTTCATCCATACAGCTGGAACAGGTGTTCAATACAATCATTGAGTTTTTTCAAGTAAATAAATAGGTGGAACAATTTCATCTATTGGTCGTTACATCAAGAAATACGGTTTAAACACTAAGGTTGTCTTTGCTGACACTCAGTATTCTGTTTACTATGATGTTGTAGTCAATGAAAGGTTCAACTTATTCCTATTGCTAAGAAAGACCGTTTTTTCATCTACATTTTCAGATTCACCAACGAATCTGGTGCCCACTTATGGATAAGTCCAGGAATGGCTGGTTTTGGATACGGACCAATGGGGCCAGCCCAAAAAGGAAAAACATCGAGGTGAATTCCTAAACAAAATGATTCAAGTTGGAGCTAAATTTCAGCCTCGATCCAGCTGTAATTGACCGCGCTCTCAAAGTTCCAGATTTAGCTTCAACAGCAGCTATGAAAGTTCTCAGAGATCAAGTAAGCTATCAATCTTCCTGAATACTTAGTTGATTGATTATTAAAACTTCCAGGGTATTGAGGGAGGTACCAGTAGCGGTATCAATTTTATATCCGCACTTCATGTGGCAGCAACTAATAAGTGAGTGGAAATAATTTCCCTGAAAGACTCTATTCAATCATTATAGAGGAAACAGGACAGTTACTATTACCACCATTCTATCCGACCCTGCGTACTATTATGATGCTACTTATTACAATCGAGATTGGATATCAAAAAACTTCAAAGTTCACGGCGGCTTACGGGTATTTTTATTTTTCTGTTTTGACTTGATTGCTGGAAGTTTTCTTAAGGTTTACGACTGTTGGGTTAGAGTAATACAACAAGCTTTAGAAGAACCGATCGACCCTCTAGCTGTAGGCAACGAAATGTGTCAAATGGCTATACATTGAAACAAGTTGATTGTGTTGATGAAAATAATAATTCCAGTACTCGAGAGTTCGAGATAACAGTTGATTTATGAACATTACCTAGTCTTTTATGATTTGTTTGATGTTGAAAAAAATGAATAATTCCTATATTCATTGTTAGTTCCTCGTATTTACTTCTTCAAAATAGACATTTTCGAGAAGTAACTAGCGTCCTTTTACGGGAAACAGTTTTTTCAACGTTCTAGATCAACACCCGATCGCAAAACAAATGTTGGCATTCGTTTCTCATAAAATCTTTTTTGGAAGTGTTGAAATCAGGAGTAAAAGGGCTTGCTTCGCATGGCTCCATGCGTTGGCCATGCATACTTATAGCTAAATAGTACGGTTTGATTAGGGTATGACGTCAAATCTACACCATCTCTACAATAACAGTTATCACTGAGAGATGTTATATTATGGAATGCGAATGAAACCCATAAAACTTCAAGAATAATAAAAATTCTAAATAAATAAATATGTTGTCTAGGATACCTATGCACAGATAACGAGATGGTTTAAATAGACTTCATCAAAGGTAAAATATGACCAGATGGAGAAGAAAAGAATGATGTTCTTCGCATTCCTCGCACTCATCGTTACACTGTCTTCCGCGTATCCGGAGGTATATTTTTAGCTCAGTGTGATTTTTCCTAATCGGAATTTTGAATTAGTTTGATAGCCGTTTTCATCTCGATCGTTTTGACAACAGGGGTGGCCCCGTTCATTTTCAAGGCACGTATGACGTTTATAAAGGAGATTCTGCATCCTTTAGCTTGCACGGTGGAGCTGATGTTTACAAAGGCAATGTCATGAGTAGCAACGTTGGAGCTACATTAAAGATTCCTTTCAAATAAAGTGTGTATGATTTTCAGAGAATTTTGCATTTACAATGTATTTTCAAGTTATAAAACTGTTCTCGTCGAGTATTTTCAACTAGTCATGTGAGTATGTTCATATTTTGTTTACGAAAGTATGTGGCATTAGTTTCTATCTCTTAATGATAGTTAATGATGACTTAAGAATCGAGTACTCACTGAAATCATGAGCTCTCTATTGATTTCACGAGATCAACAAGCTCGATGTAGATGACTTATTGCTGTTCCGTTTGATTATTGTTATGAAAACAGGAGTTATAAGTATAATATCTATTTAAATAATTATATCACATAATCCGTAGCTCGCAAGGTAGAGGTGGATCTTACCAACACCTTGAACTACACAGAAGTGTTAGAAATATCACAAAACCGTTCAAGAAATAACATGAAGAGTTCGATGTGGTCAGTTTGACTCTGCTGATTTCCGGCTTCTCTGCAATAAAGCTATAAAACTAAAAAAAAACTGAGGTCTTCTCACGTTGAGTCATAAACTGATAATGAGCATAGAATCCGGTCGCATCGAAGATGTCATTGGAGTAAAATATCATTCGAAAATAATTTGACTCCGATAGAATGGGACCCCTGGGAGCAGTCTGAAAGAAAATAAGAATAGCTCCCGCAATGTGGAATAACTGCAAATTAAAATACTTACTTTTCCGCAAAACCTTCGATTCGTTCGATCATGGGTTTGATAATTACTGAATAGAACGAAATCACTTTGTGTAGTCTCATCACATCTGAACAAGATATGGACAGCTAAACTTGCGAGAATAGTTGGAACTCACTGATTGAAGCCTTCAATATCGAAGTATTCGAAATGTATATGAACTATCTCATCTTCAGTGCCATGAAAGATATACTCACAATACATATTCCTCGGATAATAGCCAGGATAATTAACAGACCATAGTTTTCCACTCGAAACAATTGAAGAATTGAAAACAAAGCGACATGCTGAAAGTTAATTCCGTGAATTTAGCAGAAAAACAATTAGATAACCTTTGGTTTTGTCAATTTTTGCTTGCATATGCTCCATATTCCAACCAGAATGAAATTTGTATTCCAAAGCAAATCCGTAATCTATTTTGGACGACTCTCTTATCACTCGAGAAGACTAGAAAAAGGATACTCGATGAATAAAAAGATTCTTTTTCAAACTTTGGTTGTGTATTCTAGTTGCATAAGATGGCTGCTACTCATGAGTTGAGGAGGCATAGTCTCCCCGCACCACTCTTCAATCCGAGACAATCTTGTGCCAACGCGGACATCAGCCGTCAAGTTATCAACGTCGCCACATCTGTTTTTGACTAGAATTACTTAACTTCTCACACTCAATCATACCTTTTCGTAACGTTCAAGTTATCGGGGACATAAAGCCTGAAGTGAGTGAATTTTACAGAAATTCTCTCGTTGGGAAAACCTAGAAAGAGCACATAAGCTTAAATAGGAATGTTTACTAATACCTTGAAGAACTATCCTGCACTTAGTTGGCAAATTTGTGTTCGCTTTATGAGTTATCTGTTTTGAAGAGAAAATGCCAACTTTTTCTGATTCTGAGGTAATCGAGATCATACATTCAGCAACACTTTCTGAAAAATTATTTCTTCTTCATTTTTATGCTTTCGTTAGGTTATTCACACTCTTCTCACATCATGACACTTTCATTCACATAGATTATCAGAAAACTAAACTTCAAATAATATTTTAAAACCTACTATCGACAAAGACTAAGAGAAATAACAAAATTTCCAGAGTCCAGTTCATGATAATTATCTAGGGTAACCCTGATTCAGGAACTAATTGGAGTAGGAGAATGAGCTGGCACTGTCAAGCAAGCAACAAAATTTCAAAAATATCAGTAGGACAACTAGGATGGACGGAGTCAGGACTTGCTGCTCCTTCAAGAAATACCGGCTGCATAAGGCATGAGTGCTTTAGAGAATATAAGAACTACGGAGAGCGCAGGCTTGTAAAGAAAAATGAAGAAGAGAACTTACGAATAGACTCGTCAGCAGCCAGCTGCTTCGACCAATTTTCTGTCTTCTCGTAAACGAATTCAATTACTAGCCCTCGGCCCTAGAAAGAAAAGACAGGAGTTAACACCAAGTACCTTCAATGCTCTTAGACTTATTTTTTTTCTCTGACAATACTCTCCTTTCAACTTCTAAGTTTAATCCTGTTTCGAAGTTCAGAATTCAAGAATATAGATGCGTGTCGTTTTCTATCATTTTAAATACTTATCATGTCAACAACCGTTCTTCCTTTCACCCATTTAAATTAGAACAACATAACATGCAAATAGATTTGGCGCGAACATAATTGAAGTCATGTCAGTATTGCAATCGCACAGTGTTTGCTTGCTCCTCTAACTAACACTGTTTTAATTGTTGTGAAGATATCGTTTATGCCATAAGTATAATTTTTTCAAACTCACACGATTCCATTTATTTTCCCCCGCTTTGAAATATATGAGTAGCGTTGATGTTGATGAAGCATAAAGGTTGTGTGAGTCTGATGTTAAGGTTTGTAATTTATTCTTCTGCAAGGCTTATTGGAATTTAATACATGAACGTAATAACTGACCCCTTTAGTAGAAGATTCGAATATGTCGATTTGGGCATCGTTTCCTAGATCGATTAACGACGAAGAAATTATAGTCAGATATCCTTTTTTTTGAGGTAGGATGTATGTGCAATTAAGGAAAGATGGATAAAAGTATGGGTAATCCAGTGAGTAAAGGGTACCCTGGAAAATTGAATGACTTCAATGACTTGAAGTCTCTAATAACCTCCAGTTTCTCTACACGATAGCTGTATTCTGAAAGTTCAGCAGCATCTGTCGAATAGTTTGCTGGAGAGACGGGATGATATAGTTTTCAGTACTAACTTGTTACCTCTACTTATGAACCTATAATCTCCTACAAAGCCTTTCGACGTATCAGCTGCATGTTGAACTTGTATCAAAAAATGGTTGTATCTGAAAAGTAGTAAGTTTCGAAAACTTGAAATAATAAGCAAGATAAAAACCTCGAGTAGAATATCCGTCCTGGAGCGATTTCTCTTTCGCAGAATTCAAAGTCTGGCCGTTCGTTCACATCAACTAAGCCATCAAGGGAATGGTCGAAAAACTTCACACTGCTGGAACATGTGCTGCAATCAACTACTATTCTATAGTTTTGTTGGACACTTAAGTTTGTTTTGGATCAGAAAGTAAGTGGTGGAGGGTGGAGAAGACATCTGTGAAATAATGAAGTAAGAGCCTCATTTTTTCGAATCAAACGTATAATCTTGTTTATGGATTATCCTAGCTTTCACCATCTATTCCCTAGAGAACATCTACTTCACGAAAAAAAATATTGGTTTTGAGAAACAGATTCTAAGTCTGTCAGTTGAAATCTGATTATCATCAATTAAGGGTTTAACATTTTTTCTCTAAGAATTTTGAATATGTTCGAACAGCTGAAGCATTGGGACAGTTTTTCACTAAACCCAAAAAGGAATTGGCAGGTAATTGATTTTCTATCAGCGATTATTAACTAATTATTTTCTCTTCATAGCCATGTTCCATAATATTTTGACTGAAAGAAGAATAAGAATTTGAATTTTTAAGTAAAAGATGGGATTATGTCCATAAATGACGAAGGCTTAATCATAGGCTTAGATCTAAACATCGATTTTGGAGGAGCTTACAAATTTCCTAATAACGTAAAACTAAATGAGTTTTGAGACGAGTTCAGTTTTGTTTAGCTAACAAGGTGAAAGGTCTACCTTCCTCTCCGAATTGGTAGTTGAAAATTGTGAAAAGCTAATTGAACGATATGATCTGGAAAATCGAAAATAGAAAGCTTCTACCGATTGTTGGGAATAACCTGGCGGAGCTTGGAAATGATAGAATACACATGATAAGTTCGATATATAGTCTGGGTAGTTTGGAGAGTAAAAATCACCGGTGGAATTGAATAGAACACAAGGGCAATAAGGTACAAATGCTACTGTCCGGGCTATCACCCAGAATAATAAGACGAAAATACTAGCGAAATTACTGATTAGGAAAGACGATCCAGAATTTCTTGATGACATAGCCTACATAGCTTCCGAGAAATAAATAGTTTCAGGCGAAGAATTATGAGAGGCTGAATTAAATTGGAGCAGAAAGAGAAAAGAACAGGAAGTCGATATCTTCCGGTATTTATTTTTTCTATCTCTGTCCGTGTCAGGAACTCTTTCGTAAGCCGGCAGCTGAGAAGGTCGGAGGTCTCGCCTTTTCTGCCACGCCCATATTTTCGAAGCGTCTTCCATCAGAATCCATTTAAGGAAGTGATGAAGATAAGCAGTGCTTCTTCGTCCAAGTACTCAATAACCGAAATTTCAAGTTAAGATTTGCCATTAGAGAAGTTTCAAAAGAATAGAAAAATATGGAAGAGCTTGGATAAGAGTTGGCCGATAGATGAGGAGACATGCAAACACCCAAGAAATATGAGAATCGTGAAGAAACAGCCGAACGGAAATGGAAACTGCACTCATTTCTCCTGCTTTCTCACAACCTACTACCCAAGCTCAATAGAAGCTTTATAAACAAAAATCAGATCAGCTTACTCAATGCCCTTCAAAGCTTCTTCTACTAATCTGTCCCACCAGAAACACAATCTGTTCCCTTTCATTTCATGTTTTATTTTCATGAATATTTCTAAATAACAGCAAACATAGTTTGGCAGTTAACTGGAAAGCTTATCCTAGAATCAACTTACCAAATTGCGTTATTTAGATTCTAATATTGTGCTTCAAATCATGATTTTTGCGTTGAAATGCACAAACTGCTTTAGAAGGCTTTCAAACATCACTATTTGATGGCTGATAGGCGAGATGAATTATGGAGTTACGCCTCTCATTCGTTTTCGAGAGTTTCCAACAACATATGGAGGCTTTTGACCCATTCAAAAGCTGAATTATGCCCAAGTAATGTGTCAAGCGACGATGTGATTCAGACAATCATATGTTTTCTCCTTTTGATTTGTGCAGATCAATAAGAATGCTATGTAAGAAGGGAGAGAAAATCCTGTTTTATTATGTTAAGCTTGAACACTATTCTGTTTGCCAACCTATCTTTAATGGATAACAGCTGATTGTTTCTTCAAAAAAAGTTATCAAGTTCATTGATATTATTTGCAATGCACATACATTCATGTTGTTGTTATAACCTGTGCGTACATTGCGAATTATAGATCTTCTTTTGGCCACTAATACAATTGAACAAATGCCTAAAAGGACTGTCAATAAGAAGGCTCAAACTCTTTTTCTTCAGTCTGAACAGCTTTTGAGATGTAGAGATAAGTAGAGTTTACCCGTGATGATTGATGAAACAAGGAATACGCCGAGGAACACTGTCAGAAAAGAAGAAAACATATGTTCTATTGATACTTCTCTTGTCGACTATAAAGGAAATTTTAGAAATATTTTATTGAACGGCTAGCTTACAACACACCGGTTCCCACAAATTTAGTGACTGAAATGAAAGGTTAGCCGTACTTAAGTTTGAAAAAAATCATTAATATCCCAATGGAGTCGAGCTATTCAAACGAATACGGATAAAGTAAATATCGCACGTGATTGCTAAGCATAGTTCACAGAAACTATTTCAATTAAAATATTCCTTTAAGAGATGTTTTGATTATGAAAAAAGAAGTTCCATTGTATTGGTACCTTGAACAACGATTCCTATGAGAGAGATGTCGATTGAATCAAACGGGCTAGACGTCAGCTTTGCGATCGGAATGGTGTTTCGTTCCACCATTGTGACCGCATATAAGAGTGTTTTAAGAGGGATTCTTGCAGCCTCCTGGATATTTCTGTGACTAGTCTACACAAAGGCAAGAAGAACAGTATTTCTTTCAGTTTTTAACTTATTGCTTTCTTTCGTATTACTGTGGTATATGTTTCTGTTTGTGCAAGTCGAACCCCACAACTAGAAAAACTCTGAATTTACCATCATACTTAGAATAAATTGAAACAACCCTTACTTTTGTTTACTCTGTTCGAAAGTAAAAAATTACGTAAAGTGCTCTCACGCAAAACTTTTTCTATTTAAGTTTGATTCTCACACTCAGTTTTCGAAAATTTCAACTCCCTCATTCAGATGGAGAAAGAACGGAAAGGCAGTTTGCGTGGTGTTGCTTTCGCTGCCGTTGTATTTTCGACAGTTGCTGTCACAGCATGTCTCATCACCTTCCCATTGGTTTTCCATTATATTCAAACCTTACAAGCCACTGTCCAGGTGAATCATATTGAGAAAAACACAAAACAAGGAAGATATTTTAGGGTGAAGTAGAGTACTGCAAATCACGGTCACGAGATATGTGGCATGAGATGGTTGAAGTTACTCCCTCAGTACCAGGAGAAGCAGATGCACTCCGTGTCCTCGCTCGACGTGTGACTCGCCAAGCCGAAGCCCAATGTTGTACATGCCAACAAGGCCCTCCTGGACCAGACGGTCCACCAGGACAAGACGGAAGGGATGGAGATTCTGGTATTGGTCCTGGACCTGATGGACCACCAGGGCCTGATGCTGAATTACACGATAGCTTGCTGCCCGTTCCACCACAATGCCCATGTCAAGCAGCCGCCGGAACTGCTGGACCCTCCGGACCACCAGGACAAGATGGAACACCAGGAAATCCAGGTCCTAATGGAGAAGATGGTGCTCCAGGACCACAAGGACCAGCAGGGATTCCTGGACCTCCAGGACAACCAGGACAAACCGGACAACGTGGACCACCTGGAGAGCCAGGAAAATTATTGCCAGGAAACGAAGCACCAGCAGGACCACCAGGTCCTTCAGGACGCCCAGGACCTCCAGGTCTTCCAGGAAAACCGGGAGCCCCAGGAAACGATGGAAATAATGGAGAACCAGGACAGCCAGGAGAATCAGGTACTTAACCGTTCAAAATAAATGCTTTATGTCAATAATTAAAGGTCAACGCGGGCCAACTGGTCCACCAGGAACTCCAGGTGCCAACGGAGATGGCGGAGAAGCTGGTTCCCCAGGAAGCTGTGATCATTGCCCACCAGCTCGTCTTGCTCCAGGATACTGAGATCCCACAACCGAAAATTAGAAACGGGGTTCACGACAATAAATCTATTCATAAACTTTTCATTGTTTTTTCCTCGTAACATTGGGAAAGACACGCATTGAATACTGCTACCCCATTTGAAATGAAAAAAATTCGATAGCTGAACTGGAAGATAGGACTCTAGAGAGTATAGGGTGAGACTTTAGGCAGAAGCTATTCGAAAGTTTTGCCAATTTCATGTTGCCTACATAAAGCTGCGTGAGCGCTGTCGATTGTCCCTAATAGAAGAGTCAGATGATCGAAAAGCAGTCAACATCGGAGTCCATTCTGTCCTCTGTATGTTTTATAGTACGAATACATATGCAGACGCTGACACAAAAGAAGAACCGAAGGGAAAACAGAGAGAAAATGAAAGAAACGTTAAGACATAAGCTAAAAGCGAGACGAGTAGACAAGCAGAAACTAGAATAAGTGCACATCTATTTGGTCGGACTGAAACGCGCTCTATTGCTACCGTAATCATCAGACGTTCAGGTCATGCGTTGGGCCGGCCCTCACTTTATGCTTCGAAGAATACAAGCTTCAATTCAGCGTTTTGTTTTTAGACAAATGGAACGGTTGTACTCCTAATTTTTTCTGTCTCTGCAGACATAAATTTAAACTCATTGGTTTCATTTACCATTTTCTGATTAATAATGTGCTCAAACCGAGTGGTCAACAAGTCTCACTTGATCGGTTAATCGATTGCGGACGGAAAGGAGGGATCGACCACCCGCCCCATCACTTTATTCATTTTTTCTTAGCTCAGCTTCTGGAGTAAATGTTGTTTATTTTGCTCATCTGTCTGACTCAAATTTCACTTTTTTCTTATCCCCATCTCCCTTATATATCCTTTTTAGAAAGTCATGGCAAACATAGAAATGCATGCGTTCCATAATCAAATGCAGCCTCTCGTTGACAGTATAGCTCCTGACATGGCAGAGGTTAGTAATTCCATATTATAGAATCTTCTTTAACAGTTTATATACAGGAAAAAGTTGACACAGCTCATGGTAAAGTCAAAGTAAGCATCTATGGTGATAAAAAAAAAATGCCTCTGATTACCTTTCACGATCTCGGGCTTGACTGTAAGTTTTCGTGAAGTGTTCGATGAAAAATCTTACAATTACAGCTGAGAGTAATTTCCAAAACTTTTTTCAATTTGTTTCAATTGCTGAGTTCACCGAGAAGTTCTGTATTTACAACATCAATGCTCCTGGCCAGGAGGTTGATGCTCAAGCCCTGCCTGAAAAGTACGAATATTGAGTCGTTGAACTATTAGGCGAAATGTTTTCAGCTATGTTTATCCATCTATGGAGGGATTGGCTAAGATTGTTGAATCTGTAGTGGATCATTACAAGTAATTTCTGTTTCTTATGCTCATATTATCAGTTCTCTATTATAGGCTCAATACTTTTATTGCTTTTGGTGTTGGTTTGGGAGCGAATGTGCTGCTCAGATACACAGTAGATCGTTAGTGGTTCTAACCACTATTAATGTTATTTTACAGCTGGCCAACCAGAACAGAGTTAATGCACTCATCCTAGTTAACTGCACAAACAGTCAAGCCGGTTGGGTTGAATGGGGCTATCAAAAGGTTTTTGAACTTGAGTTTTTTTTCATTTAATTATGTTAGATCAATCTACGATACTTACGATCAACTGGTATGACTAACTTTACCGTGGATTACTTGATGTGGCATCATTTTGGTCGTCGTCTTGATGAATGCAGCACGGATATTGTTCGCCAATACAAAGTTTATTTCCAACATTTACCGAACCCAGTCAATCTGGCTTCTCTCATCGAATGTTATTTGAAGCATGTTAATTGTCATGTGTAAATTTTGTAATGTTATGAGTTACAGTCGCTCTACGATTGTTATGTCTCGTGATGGAACTTCAGGGCCTCAGCTCAAAGTTCCTGTGTTACAAATTGTTGGAGCAGGCAGTGCTTTTGTTAATGAAACAGTTGAAGTAAACACAGGTCTGGACCCCTCTCGAGCTGATTGGATTAAAGTAAGGAAATAGGTTAATTTGCTGTTAATAATCGAATGTTTACAGATCTCAGATTCTTGCGGATTAGTATTGGACGACAGACCAGAAGCGGTAACTGAGAGTATGATGTTATTCTTACAAGGACTGGGTTATTGTTAGTTGTCTAATAGTGTATGGGTTAATAATTTTACTTGGTTTTAGTCCCCACTATGAATGTGGTCAAATTAATGAAGAAAATCCAGGAAACTCAAACAGGATCATACGCAGCCGTAACAGAAAATCTCAATGAATGCTAATTTAATAAGATGTTCAAGATTTTGTAATATTCGTCTTTGAATTGTTGAGATTAAGGAGCTTTAGACCTTTGACACGATTTGTTATTTTGAAAAACGGCTCTCATGCCTGCTATCATTCCCAAACATGTGCTGTTCTCTGCTTAGCATTTTCCTCTTTATTGATCTTAATTGTTTATTTTTTTTTAATTTTAAGTTTGAGTTTCTGAACTCGGCGTTTTAAATTTTTTCTAGTCAATACCTTGCTTCACAACACTTCTAATTGTTTAACAATTGCAAAGATGCCAATACAAATTCGCTATAAAGGTTTTATAATCGCCATAATCTGCCAACGGGGTTGGATATCCTTGCTGCGACTACTTGCCTGTCTCCGGATCACGGACTCTTTTCCTTTTGCTTTTTCAGATTACGGTGTTGTCAGTTTAAGGAACACAGCTAGAATACTAGCTGTGGACTTATATGTCGGCAGTTTCAAACATGCAAACCATTGATAACCTAAATGAGTTTTGGTCTGAACCAGTTGTTAACTGGTTTGACTATTTTGTCAATCGACCAAAATTTCAGGAGCTTTTGCTAGATCACAAACAGAATCAAGGTGATAAATAATCTTTGTGAATTGATTCCATTATTCGATTTTGTAAAGATGCCATCGCCTCCCTAGCTCTTCAGTTTTGTGAGCAAGCCACTTTCACAGAGAAAGAGTACGAAGTTATGGTTCAAAAAAGTTTCCCGATTGAAGATCTTCAATTCCTGCAACGAAAGTCAGCTTGTATGTGGCTTTGCGCTCTTTCCTGCCTTGCGGCTCTTGAGTGGGATTTCGAGCTTTTGGTTGAGAAACAGTAAGTATTGGATTCCATATTCGGGAATCATGACAAATCGTTCAAGAGACATTCTTGCTGTAAAGCCTCTAATGGAGTATATTGAAAAATTATGGCAAAACAGAGAAATAACAACTGATCCCATATTTGGAGAGTGGCTGTATGCTCGATGGATCCTATCCATCGATCGTAAATATCGAGTATCGGTTCCACCTGCGAAACAAATAGTTAACAATCCGTAAGAGTTTTTACCTGGTTTCTTTAACAAAGTTGATGAATACATCTTATAGCTTACAAGTACAGGACTTAAACTTACAAAGACAGGAAAACATTCGCAAAGTTGTGCAAGAAGCACGGGAGCTACGAATATTCCGGGTTTGATTATCATTCGTTTTTTTTTGAACTTCTTCTTTAGGTAGTAGAGTTCATGGAAAAGTTCATCAGTGACGAGAGTGCTATTTATGTCCCCGGTGTTTTATGTTTTCTTCAACCTTTCCTTGAGGTAACATAATACATGCCCCGTTAAATAAACGAGACTTTTCCATATTAGCAATCCGGCCAAGCCATGAGTGTCGGAATTATGGGTGCTAACGTTTTGATTGAAGGAAGCCCAAAACCTAAACTGACTAATGAGTGCATTTTTATTCCAGCGAAAGATGTTTTGAACAAGGTTTTTTTCTTTTTAATTTTGGTTCTAATGTGGTTCTGTTACAGACTGCGTTTGAATTAGGTTGCTTTTTTTTCTCTGAAGGACGCCTTGATCGTAGTTTCCATTTACTCTCTAAGGTTTGTCCATATTTTCATTCGGACTTCTCATTTTTCATTTTTTGAGGTGAACATAAACAGTACTGAACACAGTTTGGTCACCGTTACTTACGATGACTTGATTGGTTATGTACAAGCACTTCGTATTCCAGCATCGTTCCCAATTGAAAACTCTCCAAGTGGATTATCTGCTGATCAAGCGGTTAGTTATTAATCCAAGACTTGCTGGAGAATATTTTTTCAGCTATTGAAAGACGATAATAACGTTTACCGAAAACGCTCACTGTATAGATGGAAGAGTGAATTAACTTGCTCAGCATCTCTTCAGGCATGTTAATCGTTATATTTGACAAAAATATCATTTGGCTTCACGATTTAAGACTACGTTCCGAAGCGAAAACATTGCTCGCGATATTGTCGAAGGAAAAATTAGCTTGAATCGTATGTATCTCAAAGATAAAACCATCATAGAAAAATTCGTCAAGGTATCTCCATATCATTCATTTCTGGTTCAAAAAACATTTCAGGCGTTGACGCGTTTTATTCCAAACTTAAACGCATCAGATACAAGCAGACTACAAGGAATACTAAGATTTCTTTCATATTCGATTCCGGGATTGAGAGAAGAAATGATTAGAAATAATTTAAACGAAGATTTTCTATGCGAACAAATGCAACCCACTGTTGAAAAAACATTTGCTGCACCAGGATTACCCATACTGAAAGGTATAAATGATATCACGATACAGTTTTTTGCTTTCTTTATTTTTTTCCCGAAATTTTTTCAAAAGTTGAGCTGGAGACTAGTCTGAATTGTGTTTGCTAGGCGATCGCACTCAGAAACTGCTAGTCGGGAATGTTTCAGAACCCCACAGGGTAACGTTTTCTGGCACACTCCCACATTCCTTCGAATGTGGTCCTTCTCAAACCGTTTTAGACTTTATCTCAGACCTTCCCGGGGATATTAAGCCACTTGGGCCTGTGAGTGATCCCCAGCGCCGTCTTCCAGCCAACCGATCCGCAAGAGACCGGTTGTCGTCTATATACACGCTCTTTCTTATGCGCCGTATGTCGTATCAGTGTGCGACCGTTTGACATTTTTTGAATGACTTCGAAAAAAAACATACAAATATATTTTAAAGCATTGTTGAACTTTCATTCATGGCGAACCAAAGGATTTTTTTAAAAATTGTTTCTCATTTCAGCGCTTCTGTCTTCTGAAGTACCATTATGGAAAATTCTATCATCTTTCGATGTAGGCGAATTGAAAGAAACGGTGAACAGTATGAAGCATTTCTCTCTACCTCGACTAGTCAGTTTCTTATTATCGCACACACAGTAATCTTGTCAAAAATTTCAGTTGAAATTCCCTGAGCTGTTGGGAGAGTATGTACTTGTTGGACGCCCCATCAATGATTTCCATGCATTGTTATTGGGCAAGATGAACCAACTTGCTAGAATAGGGGTGAAAGTCTTCGTTTATACCTGAATATTACCTTACTTTTTTAGAATCATCAGGATTGGCAACAGTTTTGTAACAACACAGTTACGGAGTTAGGGCATCTTGGAGTGCAAAATCAAGTTCGATTCTTATTGGAGGTCAGTTTTGTGAACTGTTGGTCATATTTATGCATAATCATTATAGGCCCTTAATGTTCAATCAGCTATTCTCAATGAGAAGCTGAATGTCAGTTTTGAGTCTTTTGGTACTCAGTTGATTCAAACTCACCTCAAAGCGACTAAAGGATTTTTCGCCAATCCACAGGCCGTTAACATCCCTAACTCTCATGAGTTATGCAGCCAAGTTAAGATTTTGGGTGTATCGTTCTGACATTTTAATTGCAGGTACTTGCTCTCTGCCTCAACGCCAAAGAGTGGGATTTTGTGATTAGTAAACTAGAGTGAGTGACTCTATTAGTTTCTTATGCTAGAAGCCCTACTTTACAGCCTCCCTGTGCCAATAATGACAATTGTGAAACTAATAGCTGCATTCGGTCAACATGGCAATAATCCTGGGATGAAAAAACTTGCCGATGCTTGGACCACTCAACTAACTCCCTCTTTTGAAAACTCTCGCAAAAGACATAGCGATGGAGGAAGTCAGAGAGAAAATTTCAAAATGCGAATAGAAATAATCAAATTCTTGAAATTCGTGAAGGTAGTTACGTACCACATATTGTGTTCAGTTAAATCGATTTAGGAACCCAACCTGCTACCTTTTTTGATTTCATTCTTCGCGTATATGTTCAATAGAGTCCTCTTGGCGGAACGGAAGCCTCAGTTACGAATTTTTGTTCAGCATTCCGAGTTGTTCGGCACAGAAACAGAGTACGAGTTCCAAAATATTCGATTTTTTCAAACTAGTTCATTAGATTGCCGAATGCAGCGATTGATGCGATTGAGGAATGTCTTCAAATAGTGTTGCAGAACAGTTTCGAAGTTAATCCTGTGAATGCGTTTTGGCTTCGTACTGCTGCTGATTTTAAATACGGCAAGTCAAAATAAGTTTTTTTTTTTCATGTGAATGGTCGTTTCAGCAAAAGGTGAACTGGAAGAAAGTGCAACACTATATATGGAAACACTACTTGCGTGCAAAACATCACTAACTGTTCCATTTCCTGAAAATGTTGTAGATGATTTAGTTAGTTTATCTTCTTTCACTTGATTTCTTGATTTATTCCTGTAGGTTTGGATTCGATTACGAACTTGCTTTAGCCGCGCATCTTGTCATACATTAGCTTTATTAATTTGTCAGTTACTTCGTAACAGAAAAGAAGAGGAATATTCGAAGATGACAGAGGTATGGTCATTTTTTCTTGAGTTTTATCACCTTCTCTTCCCAGTTGTTGAGTTCTCAAGCTTCTGCTGACGCCACAGATGAATGTTATTCTATGATTTTCGATCACATATTGGTAGAGTCTCTTAGTCAAACTCTGGATCAGAGCAAGCAGTTGAACAACTTGGAACGTTTAGTAAGCTCGACGCTCTTATTTAGATGCGGAAAATTTTGTTTTTAGTTATATTGGTGTTCCAAGCCTTCCCTAAACTCTAACAATCGCTCAGAAGTTCATACCAGAGAACAATGCAGACGAGCAGAACGCTTGATTCGGGTTATGGCTGCTCAACTATTCGCCGTGCATTTATAAAATGTGCTTGGAAACATTTGAAAAACTTTCTAGCGTCAAAGCTCTAGTGGATTTTCACTTCTTATCAAAGAAACTTTCAACCTCATCATGAAGAGTAGCAGCGCTCTCATTCCTTAGAGATAGAAGAACTTCAAATTTAGTTTTCATATGAATTCGAAAAATAGACTACTTGTCCTGATTATTGTATCTCATCATACTATTGATTGTATTCAAACATTCGACGATAGCTAGGCTAACTCTATCATTGATATTGTAACCGTTTCCGTCGTTATTTTCTCAGCCCACTGGCTAGAGTAAATTATTGTTTTTCCTCGTTTGTCATTATGCCACCTGTTTTCATAATCTAAGGGTTCTTTAGCTGGTTTATTCTTCATAGTTTTTACATGTGAACGTATTCTGGATCTCCGTAATAGACAATCTCTCGGCCATCCTTCAATTTCCATAACTTATGTTGTTGGTTTGGTTCGCATGGCTCTTGGTGTAAAACAAGATAACGTCGTTTATCTCCTGTATATAACTTCTTTTCAATAGAAATGAATTATCCATTACCTTTTTGTAGGTTTTTTTTTATTCTACATTGCGCTCTTACCTCTTCCGATTGCTGCAGCGAACCATAAATATAGGCTCCTATCTCTCCTTTACGTAAGTAGAAAGAATCTCGATGATGATGCTCTTTATTAGTTTCAAGTTTTGTGATTGGCTCGGTATTCTCTGTAGGGGCATTTGAATCATAGATGAAAGCTCCCAGATTTCCTTTGTTGATGTATCGACTGTGCTGCCCATCATTCGACTGAAATGTTCGAAACCCTCGGAAACGTCGTCCGTCAGGTAGAATAATAACAGCTTTGAGCAACTGGTCATCCGGCTCATGTTGGCCTCGTCCTATACGAATAGGTCCCAGACGCAATTCTGATAATTGCGGCAGCTGAAGAAGATCTGAGAGAGAATTGAGAGTCAGAATTTTGAAGTTCATCACCTCGAAGCACTGCTATGGGATATTCATCATTGAAAACTTTTTCCGGAGAGACTCTATTTGCATGTAATAACGTTCCATTCGGAAACGTCAAGATACCCCGGATTGTTTTGGAGTTCTGGAAAAAAAACAGATAGCTTCATGATGAGTTTCATTAATGTAATCAAACCTTATCAGACGATCGAGCCAATCGAAATTTATGAAGAGAAAGCTCATTTGTATATATAGCTGCGTAACTGGAATTTCATGTAATATTTACTACTCTAAAAACAGGAGGGAACCTCTCATGTCTTTCGTCTATAAAAGAAAAAACGGCATCTCTGATAAAAATGAGTAAAAGTATTTGAACTCGGACGAGATTATTCATCTGCCAAAAGGGTTAGTAGAGAAATTTTCCAATTGATATCACAAAATGTATGCTCGCGTTATCAGCATGCCATTTCTGACAGACATCATGAAACCACTCAAGATGTACAAATATTGTCTCTCATGCAGAGCACATGGAATAAAATCTGCATAGTCTTCTCAATATGTAAAGGAAGTCAGCATACCACTCCGTGAAAATGAAGCAACATTCCTTTTCAAAAATCATCATTTCATATTGATACTTTGTATACAAAAATCTTGGTTGGTTTCATGAACATCACTTGTCATCATGGTCATCTGGTTCACTATTTTTTTTATGGTTTTATGACAAGGCTTGAATGCCATTAGCATGAAGACTGGAGGTATTGTCACTCTGTGAAGATATGCCGACCAATGTGGAAATACCTGGGGTCTCCGTGCGTTTGCCCCTGAGAAATTTCAGCTTATTATGAACATAACCAACGGTATTATCGTTTAACATGGTTCATAGAACAAACAGCTAAATAGAAAGATGAAAAAACTATTGTATAATATGAGTGAGAATTTAAAAACAGTTGAATGTTAATTAAAGAAAATGAGGCAATGATTGGATGATATAAGTCAATAAGCTAATTAAAACCAACGATATTCGTAACTGTCCACTCTCATATATCTCGGTAACACAGAGTTGTGATAAGCAAACGCTCTGATGAGTTATTCGTGGATTAAATGTTTTAGAAAATGTATTGAAGCAAATTATTTGTTATTGATGAAACGTGAAGACAACTCAGATCAGCAGAACTAATTGAGAAGATGTGTTGAAATATCATTTATTACTGAATGTTATCGAGTAACAGAATGACTGCATTATTACATTATGAAGCTCTTCAGTAGTTCGAAAGTCCTATTCATATCACTGACTGACATATACACCGAAAAATTTCCCCACAAGGTGTAATTGTATCAAAACCTTTTCTATTTCCAGATGGTTTTTTGTTGACTCCCTCAGCATAACGCAACTAGGACAGAAGGAAATTTGAACGTTTGAGTTGAGCAACTGAATTTCATAACTAGGACGCAAAATTAATTTTCAGAAGTTCACAGAATATGTTATGACTCTCTGGGTCATACTATATGTTCATAGTTTACAGACATCAGGCCTGAAGAGGCGCGAGAGAAACATAGGCAAAGGGGGAGGAGAGCACCTTAGGTAATTAATGAACCGCCCAAGCAGTTGAGGAATCTCTATATAAGGCTGAAAAAAAAACTAAATAACATATCATATATATTCTTTTAATATTGAGCTCAGTCTCATGTTTTCGAGGAAATTTGTGAAGATAGTAATATCTTGCACGAATAGTCTCAATCGTCTTATAGTTTCATCTAGCTATGACATGCTATTTGTATTTTACTCTCTTTAAAACTTGTGTATATATTGGTCTTATACAGATTTTTTTAGAATGTCTTTCAATAATACACCTCTCCAAAATCAAGAGCAAAAGCCTTGTATGGAATATCCAATCACACCAAGCCCTTATGATATGGTAAGCAGGCGAATTAGTTTTCTTGACATTGCATTCTTTTATCTTCTTCATGCTGGTTTATTCAATTTTTTTTCAGAGCCATCAGATGCATAACCAACAGAACCAAATTCAAACTCCTCAACTCAGCAGTTTCTATACACAACAACTACCAATGCTTTTTGATACAAGCTCGCTAAATTACACTGAAAATATGATGGCTATGGTAGGTCCTATTCTTTTTGCATACCGTCATCTTCTAATTTCAGAGCTATTGGGCTCAGCAGCAACATCAACATTTCATGACGCCTACATCGTCGGCTCCCCTGCCATCTCCAACTTCCACTGATTCGGGAATAAGCGCAAGTACTTCACCCGAATCATCCTCTCCAGATCAAAGTTCAGGAGACAGTTTCGGAAAAATAAGTTAGTTAAACCTTTGTCATTTGATTAGTTTATCTTCTATTGTAGGGAAGAATGATGATATGCTGGATGACGAAAAAGTTTTCTGCACAGTTCAAGGAAGACTCAACCTTGTAGGGAATCTCAGAACCTATAGAGTCACTAAGCCCGAGATCTTGAGAAGAGTCAACCCTCCTGAGTGTATGAACAGCAGCACTCTTGCCGCTTATCTTAGAAAGTAATTTGTGCTTTCCAACCGTTTTTTATCAAAGAGTTGCAGGGCAAAAACCAAAAGTGGTGGCGTTGAATTGAGACAGCAACTCGAGAAGGAGGGAATTCGGCTTCCTACCAACCGAAGACGTGCAGCCCCACATACAGTTTATTCAGCCATGACGGAAGAAGAAGCTCATCAAGCTGGTCTTGATCTTGATATGCTGCTAAGGAGTTTCTTCCCTGTTGAAGAAATCAGTCAATACATTGCTGGTAGAGCTATGAGCCCACAAGAACGCGAAGAGCGGAAAAGAGATCTTCTCGGAGTAATGTTAGTTGTGCCTTTCTCTTCCATCCTTTAACTTAATCTTTTCAGTCGATTCTCCGAAGAAATGTCGCATCTCTTTGATAATATTCAAGTGCCGATAATGGGAAAGTCGGTTCAAAACCGTTTCTTCAACGATCAGATGCAGCAGAAGATGGAACATCTTTCCGCTGTATCTCACGGTTTTGGATTATACAGCACTAAGACCTTCAAGTTCGTTGATAAAGTGGTAGCTGCTCGTACCCTCCAGCTTTTGGAGCAACCACAGATAGGAGTTCCTCAAGCTCCTCAGGTCCCTCAAGCCCAGATGCCTCATATGGCGCAATACATGCAGGCTATGCCCATGAAATATGAGTAAAAATTTGTAAATATCTAGGAAACCTTTAAAAGGTCTAAAAAGTCAAAACTTAGTTTTTCGTTTAATCATCTAATCTCATCAAGCCGGTCACACACACTCTTTGTCCTCTCAATCGGCCCATAATTTTATTATTAATACTATTTCATCGGGTTTTATCCAGAAGATTGTTGATAATAACAAGGAAATTCATTTTGCTATCTTAATCTTTTTTCCTCATATTTCTAATTGTTAATATGTAATTAATAATATCATAATACCTTACATTGTCCTCAGCTCTTGTCATGAATATATTTTGAGTTTGTACAATAAATTGTCAACAACAAAAACTATTATTCATCATCTATCGATTCCGAATCATTCCTTCCGTTATCGGCTGAAACCAGCATATTTGAGCAGATAGAAGCTCATGAACAGGTATACGTTTATTTAGAACAAAACGAAACAATAATTTTACATTTCACAACTAATTCATTCTGTTCCAGAGAAAATAACCAAGCCTTTTCTGCGAAACTTCATCAGTAATTTATGCAGAATACGCATGAAACTGTCCAAGGTATTGGTCCTGCGTTGTGGTGAGAGATGCTCCATCGCTATTTCTCTGACCTACTAACACGACGTGACATTCTATTAATACGTATCTATGATATGTTGGCTTGATCTAGCTTCGTGTATGTAGATTAAGTTAACAATGTCTTGGCTTACGAAGGTCACTGATCTGGCCGGGAAAGCTGAGGAGATGCTTAATAAAATCGATAAAACAACTGGTAAGTCATAATCATAGTGTTTCTCATCGAAAATGTTTGTTTTTTCCTCAGGAACGGTCATTCAGCAACAACGGGTACGATCCTCAACTCCAAGTTTTGGTAGAAGCACCTCTTTTGCACAAATTGACGAAACTGTAAGAACGGAACTTGTTGTTCGAGAAATTCACTAATCACATGATGTTCAGCCTGATGTACATACCGAAGAGATTGGGCGCAATGGCCCCTCTCTACCATCCCGAGCCCATTCAGAATTTGCAGGAGAGAAGAAATATAAGAAGAAGCTTCTTAATGAAGGGTTAGTAGTAGTCATATTTATATAGCTAATTCCTCAATCAGATTTGCTCCTAGTACTTCGGTCACAATTGAAACTGAGAATTTCGATGACCTAATGAAAATACTGAATGATGATGGCCCTGCTAAAGTTAATGTATGTCTTTCTTTTGCTCTCCTCTCAATTTTTCTTTTCAGCAAGAAGGTAATCGTAGTCGAAGATCTAGTGTGAGAAGCGTCGTTTCAACAGCACAGAGTGGTTAGTCATCCTATTTTCTAGTTATCAACTGTTTGCGTTTCAAATTGAAATTGAAGCACTTGCCTTTCGAATGATTATCATTAATAACTCTACATTTTTCCTTGTAATATCTTTCCTCTTTCTGAATTCCTCTCTACAGAAAATAATGAAGCTGTTATGTCCAAGCTTTGGGCCAAAGACTCGCAAATCACAACGTTACGGTCCAAGTTAACTGTAAGCTCATTTTGTTGTCGCTTTTTTGAAGATGTTTTAGGATATTGAGAGGAAGCTGGAAAAGGCTCAAAAAGACTATTATGATATGAAAGCTGAACGAGACATGCTTCAAAACAGAGTAACCAGTGAAACTTCCTTTGAGAATGTAGAAGAATTGAAACTGGCTAGGTAGCAGATGCTGATGTTGATTGATAATACAATTTCTTGCAGAAAAAAAGTACAGGAACAGAAAGATATTCTTCAGGATGAATGTAATCAAGCTAAACGAAGAATCAATCTTTTGGAAGAAGAAACACGAGCACTGAGTGACCAGGTACTCTTTTCTATCTCACAATGTTCTTGATGTTAATCTTAGCTACGACTTGCCAAATTCAACTTAAATGAGAATAAGAAGGAGTTCGATGAATATAAAGAAAAAGCCCAGAAGATTCTTCAATCGAAGGAAAGATTAGTCGAATCTCTGAAAGGAGAGGTTAGCAGCTATCGTTTTTTTTTTTCAAATTCTTCAATCTTGTTCAGAATTCTAGTAACACAGGAGATAGACCAGCTCACCTTCTTCAAGCTGAGCTAGAAGAAATGAAAGTTGAAAGGTACGAGAAAGTTTAGGCGAAACTAAATGGGTTTCCTGCAGAGATTTAGCTAGAGCCGATCTAGAAGCAGCTCAATTACAGCTGTACAATCTTCGGTCAGATATGGAAGAACTGGAGAATCAGTTGCGTGAGGAGAAATTCCAAGTGAGCTTCCATGAATCATTCGAAAATAATAGGTGTATATATAGCAAAGTGAACTTCGCCGTCAACATTTAGATGAACGACACTCATGGCAATCGTCTCTCAGCTTGATGAATGAAAAAATCGACTGCTCCAAGTAATTCTTATCATACTATCCGAGAGAAAAAAATTTTCAGGATAGAAAACGATTTCGCGAAACAGGAAATGAAACGGCTAAACGATGATTTTACACAGAAACTTGAGCAGAAAGAAGCTGAGGTGCGTAGATTGATCGAACAGAATCGATCCAGGTACTGAAAAATCTTGAATTTGGTTTTCACTTGTATGTTTGAGTCGGCGGAATGACAACAACTTCCAACCCGTTGACAGTTCTTTGAGCGAAAAGCTGTTGATGAAACAAGCAGAACTGGAAGATTCTCAACGAAACAATCAAATTTTATCACTTCGCTTAGAACGTCTACAGGTGCATTGTATATTTTTTTGTATTCATGTGTTCAAAGTTTTGTAGAGTTCTGTTAAAGAAGTTGTGATACCTATGGAACCAGCTCCAGCAGCCTTCCCTGTACAGAACCCGACAGCACGAAATGCTATAGGGTTAGTAGATACACTGACATTCAAGTTTATATCAGTGTTACGAAGCTATCCAGCATCTCGATTATTTGTTTTCATGTATCTTTTACTATTTCATTTATGGGTCTTCTTCATAATTCTCACATATACTCCTGAAACACACGATATTAATCCAACACTAAATGTATCAGATAGTTGATGAGCACCAATTTGTATACTTTCCATTAAAGGCTATAGGGTTATAACATAAGGCTGTGATCATTCTAATAGATGGATTTTTGTTTTCTCAGATTTTTAACACTGATGTATAAATAGATTATAAGTATTTGGTCGTAAAGGTTTTATGCTTTTTAATTGTTCATTCTCACTTTTTGCCAAGTCGTTCATTGACGATTATAATATATCATTTTCTACTACATATTCTTTCAGTGTTTTCTTTTTGATTCAGGCATGGCTTCTCAGGTACCACCTTCTTTGAAATCCGTTGGAGGTTACGTGAAAGTTGCTAATGATAGCACGGATCGTGATCCAGTCGTATACTACTGGTGTAAGTGGAATATTCTCAAATTCGTATCTGTCGTTTCAAGGTCTCTATTACGCAGTTCAACAAGCTCTGAAAATTGACAAATCTTCGAAAGAAGCTCTACAGTTTATCACAGGGATCCTCTCGACTTTGGAAGCTGTAAAAAAACAGTATGCATCTGTAGAAGCAATCCATACTGAGGTTACTAGTTCGTCTTATCTGTTTTGAGTACTATCTATAGATTGTCGCTCAAGCTCACTTAGAAAATTACGCTTTGAAACTTTTCAACTATGCCGACGCTAGAGAAAAAAACGGTCAAGCAGACAAGGCAACATTCCACGCTTTCTACAACTCTGGTTTAGTGTTTGACACGCTCTCTTTATTCGGAGAAGTAAGTATTTATTTAATTTTTCGTTTCTGATATCGTTACCATTCCAGATCGACGAAAACATTGTTTCAATGAAAAAATATGCAAAGTATACGACAACACAAATCGGTAAATGTCTCCGTGATGGAACTCCTTATGTGTCAAGTTCTGCAAACAAGCCAGGTTTGATTTTTCAGTTTCATACTTCTATTACATGCTTTTTTTTAGATGAGTTGTCTTTCATTCCATCGAATGAGCAAGATTCAAATTTTCCTCCTCCGTCTTATAATGAATCTTATGATATGAATTCATCTGGCTTACCTGGGGTCCCGAAACATTGTACGTTCACAATATTCAGAGTTTTTAATGATTTTTTAGACTCCGCGGATCACAATCCCACAGAGAATTCAGATTACCAACCTCAGATCAGTCCTTCTACTCACACTCCTTCGACAAATGTTTCATATCCATCACCTTCACCAGGTTATTTCGGAGTATTTTTATTTTCGTTAATTTCCGATGTTTAGCACCTCGTTCCCAGTCCAGCGTTCTCTCAGATCCTCAACCACCTCCATATTCTACTACCAGCACATCAGGATTGAAACAACCTACACCTAAAGATTTCTTGGAAGCTCAAAAGTTCACGAAATACGCTCTCAGCGCCATTGATTATGAAGACACTAAAGCTGCCGTCGAAAATTTGAAAAAAGCTTTGTCATTCATGGAATAGCTTGTGCACTTAACACATTTCAGTCTAATGCGAGTATATAATTTATACTAAACTTGTAAATTTATAATTTATTTTAAATGTTTTGTATAATGAACCTATTCTTAAGAAATGTTTGGAATGATTTAAACAGGTTCTGATTCCCTAGTATCTTTGAAAATTTAGTTTGACTACAGTAGGTTGTTGCAGAGAATGGAAAATGGCGAAAAAAAGAAGAAGGGGATCAGATTGTTAGCTTCCCTTCTGTATAATAATTAACACAAGCATTAAGGGTGTCGAGGAAGTCAACAAAAAAAATGCTAGGACGATGGAAGCGATTAGAAAGCTCTGAGAAAATTGATCTTGAATCGGAGAAAAAAGTTAGTTTCCGCTAATTATTAGTATTAAGATTCAAGTATTGTAGCCTGTGCGAATGATAATGGGCAAGAGCCTTTCTGAGGTAGTCGAATTGGACCCTTCTCTCGATGGCATTCCATTGCCAACCTTTTTTCGCTATTCGCTGGATTATGTTGAGAAAAATGGTTCGTGATTTTCATCACATTGATTTCAATTCTATTTAGGGCTGATCTTGGAAGGCATATATCGAATATCGAGTCCTAAATCACGGTTAGATGAACTAGAAAGTAACGTGAATGAAGGAAAGGAGTTGGTTTTTCGGGATGCACATGAAGCTGCGGGACTCATCAAACGGTTAGTTCTAGCAGTTTCTAGATATATCTATGCAATTGATAGTTTTCTCCGCCAACTGCCCGAACAGTTAGTTCCGAATCAGGTCGAGAAAGCTGCGGAAGCTTGCAAATGCGATTGGAAGACTATTTGCTCGTGTGGTGCCACCAAATCAATTAAACACTTGTTGAATCAAATGGAAAAATCCCAGTACTATCTGTTGACCTACGTATTTCTTCATGCTCAAAACGTAGTTAAGCATGTGAGTAGCTTTTCATAGCCCTTAATTATTTTTTTTATCCATATTGGATGTTTTAGTTCAAATTTCGGCTCATCGATTCAATAATTTTATTCTTTGAAATTTCGATTCATTCTTTTTGAAGTCCAATTATACCTTCATTATGCATAATAACTGTCATCATTTTTTTTTTCACATTTTGCGTTAGTAGAGCGGTTTTTGGAGGTTTTTTTTACACGTTCGTGTACTCAGTCGTTCTTGACGCTTTTTCACTTTCTATAATCGCATATCGGGCTGCCGTCCCAGTATTTTTTTCATTCTTCGATCACGTACTTGAGCACGGTCGTTCCTGGCGTTATTTCATTTTTCATAATCGCATATCGGGCTGCCGTCCCAGTATTTTTTTCATTCTTCGATCACGTACTTGAGCACGGTCGTTCCTGGCGTTATTTCATTTTGTGTCTCCCTTCGCGGTGTGCGGTCGGTTATAACTTTTTCTGCTTTTGTTCCCGCAAATGCGCGCGATTTACGAAGATGTGGAAGTATTTGTGATATTTTCCCGATATTGTTTATTAATAGTTTATTCAGGAATGCGACAACAAAATGGGAATACCAGCGCTAGGCTTACTACTACAGACTGTTCTGGAAATGAGTCGTAAACTGATATGTATTTTTATTCAAAATGCATCCAGCTTGTCGAACGAAAGAAACGAAGAGGTGAAACTAACAGGAGAAATGACTATGACAGTTCTTTTTTCAGGCTTTCTATCTATTTCCGGATGTACACATTTTGACGTAAGTTTATAACTTTTAAAAACAAAATAATTTAAACATTGAGCAAAATGCTTGGGATATTATTGCTAAAAGCACCAATTATGAGCAAAGGTTAATTGGAATAATTGATTCTTCAATCAATCTTATTACTTGGGGTGATTATCCAGTTCGATTTCTTCCATTCCGTCTTCTATAGATGCTTTCTTCTGCTTAGCATCTGGCTGCTTAGATTGACTACTGCCTATGCGATTGGTTTTCTATAGAGATCATTTTATTTGTGGAAATTCGATGAATCCGAACCTTCATGAACAACGCTACAGCCACGATCGCAATAATACTGACCACGGTGATGATGCCGATAGTAACAGGAACAACTAGATTTGATTCTGAATTTCAAAAAAATGGAAATGGGTCATAGAAGAAGGGACATACCGCTTCCTTCTACTTTTCCATTCTTGGGATTATCAAACTGGTTAATGTCATAAACTTCACGTCTTGGCTCCTCTTTGAATAATGTGACATTATCCTTAACCCCAACAAAGAAATCTGGCTGAAAGAAGTATATTGTTTTCATCGAGGCATGAAGAGTTTAGCTAACGATTGTAAAAGGAGTAGTTGATTCTTCAATTTCTTCACCCGCTGTTGTTGTTGGTGGTTGAGTAGTTGTGTCAGTAGCTTCATCATAAGGCTAGATATAGAGATTATCTATATAATGTCCTATGTTTTCATACCTGGAGTGTAGCCGCATCAATTAAGATAAGGGGAAGATCCTTAAGTGAGTAAGGACGGTTACATTTTGTTGTGTTTATATTTGGAATAACAAAAGTTTGTCCGTTATTACTAGAATCTCGCCTTCTATCTTCAACAAGGAAAAGAACTGAAGTGGACCTTCTTTATGAGGGCTGCATTCGAACAACTTACAATCGGTCATCTCGGAATCGCATTGATATGGGTTATTCGATATAGTAAATTCTTCTAATAAAGGAAGATCTTTTAGAATCTGTAAAAAGGTTTTTCTGATAGCAAAGTGTTGCTTACCTGTGCCGGAATAGTTTTAATCATATTTTTATCCAAGTTTAGTTTTAACAAGCTACTTTTTTGCTTCTCAAAAGCGTTAGGTGGCAGCTTTTCAATATTACAGCTGGATAAGTCTAGGATCTATGTATTCATATTTATAAAAGCCTTTTCATAACTGCGGTGATACCTTCAATTTGTTCAAATCTTCGAAACTACTCTCCTTGATTTCGAAAGGTGAACATTCAGCTAAAGATAGACTCTCTAGGTTAATAAGACCAGTTGCTGGAGGCTGAAGAATTTCAAACTATTAAGGACTTTCATTTGTATTACCTCAGTGAGAGGATTATGCTTGAGGCTCAAAACTGTCAAGTTTTCTACTAATGGTTTTAGAGATTCTTTTGATATAGTTGTGATCTCGTTCCATCCTAAATCCAACTCTTTCAAGTTATGCAAACCCACCCAAACATCTTGTTCAAGTTTTCTGAAGATACGAATCGTGAAAAGAAATGCTCAATGAGATCTACCTAATATAGTTTCCTGCTAAACTCAGACGCTCGAGTTGAGTTAATCCGTCAAATGCATAATCGGAAATGTTCTCGATAAGATTTACGCGCAGATCCAACTATAATTTCAATATTAGTTCTTCCATTATCAAACCAAAAGTATGCTTCCTAAGTGGTACATGATGCCCGCCAACCACTACAGCACTTTCTTGTCTTGGTCGAAGAAACGGAGAAGGAGGTAGAACAGCTACACTTTCACTAACCTGCTTGAGTTTGTTGAGAGGAGCGAATACTCCAGTTTCAAGGTTTGGAATGCTACATCCACTAAGTTTCAGCGATTCCAAGTTTTGCAAGCTGTCGAATATTCCACTGGGAGGTTCAAAAACACCATCGGCACGCGTTAGATCCAAATTCTATGAGTGAAAGTGTATTTCAAAGACTCATAGCATACTAACCTTCAAATTTTTTAACGACTTCAACTCTTCCAATACAGTATCGTTGATATAGTTGCGTTCTCCGAAAACAAATGTTTCTAGATTATCTAGATTTGCGAAGGCTCCTTCCTCAATACTGTTGATCAAATTGGCGGAAAGGTCCAAATAAGTCAGCTGAAAAGACCAAAATGTTCAAGAAAACCGCTATTTTGATGAAATTGGTGAGATAACTGTAGTGAAGATGAATTCGAGACAAGAAATTTGAAATGAAACGTTGTTGAGAACGAACGCAAGTGATATGAGTGAAATGGAAAGAATTAGATAAGAAGAATCATCTGTCGATTCCACTCAATCATTACACCTTGACATTCCTCTCATTATGTGCTAACCACTCATGCATTCGACGTATATTTCGAATTTATGTCTTTATTTGGGCATTTAGCACTCAAACTATATGAAATAGTTCTTACCTGTTTCTTATTTATGAAGGCTGATGTTGGAACAGTTTGTATTTTGTTACTTGAAAGGTCAATCGATTCTAAGTCGTTCAGATCGGTAAGGACATCAGGTACTTCCTAGAAAACATTAGAAGTTGGTATGTTTTGCCCTTGTTCCTCGTGAAAATCAAGTTTTTTTTCAACTGCCTTTTCTCCCCCTCACTATCGTCTGCAGATGATAATCTGTGATGTTTTTTTCCATTTACTTACTTCTAGAGTACATCCATGTACTGTGAAATTTTTAAGAGTCTTCTCTAAGCCAGCTAGATGAGTTTTGTCAATTATAAGAGGGGTTGGGGTTCCACATTCACGAATTTCCAAGCTTCTCAAGTTGGGAGCTGCACTTTTTATATCAGGCAGTCCCGTCAGTGGGAAATCCATATGCTGGATACTGATCTGAAAGAATAGAGAAATGCATAAGCGGCAATTCAACATTAGCTGACTAATGACTCATGCGTCGCAGTCACCAACAGATTTGTGTATTGGGATAAAAAACTTTTACGACAATTCAAAGACTGGATTTACATTATGTGCGTTAAGAAATCTTTTTTTTTGGGAATTTGTCATATAACATTTCTTGTTGCAACCTACCTTGTCTATTTCTAAGCTTGCATTCTTAACAGCGCTTGCTGCTCTCATGAGTTGCTCTTCATTTGATCCATACAAGCAAGATATTGCGACTTTGTCATTTTTTTGAATCTGAGAGAGTTGCAAAGTATAGGGGTGCGTTTATGTGGAATACCTTGCAAAAACAAAGAAGGAGATCTTTCAATGAATCTTGGTTGATTGATTCGTCATTTTCCAAAACATCTACGTCAGGACAGCCGGGTACAATCTTTGGTGAGATTGTAGTAGTCTCAGCATCTTCATCACATCTAACAGGAGTAGATATGAGTAATAATAAAACGAACAACAGAGTAGACCCCATTTTTCTTTTCTGGGGAGAGGGGAGGGGTGGGTAGACTAAAAAAATACTTCAAGTCAGGATGTTGTTAGTGGCCGTGGTGTCACACGTCCTCGAGTAGCCTGAAAAACGGAGGTCCAATTTGAGTATTATTGTTTTTCGCTGTATTAAAGAAAACAAGGGGGGAAATAAACAGAGACATCTATCTTATCAGGAAAAATGAAGACGAGACAAATTAAGAAAGCAAGATCGAATTATTGGAAAACCACCAGCAAGCAGAACTGTTTGGTCAAGGTTTTTTTGAATTAGATTTATAGGTTCTATTCAAAAGTTGAAAAATCGGAGATGAAAATCCACAGACATTCACGCATCGGACCGTCCGTGTACATGCACGAGAAAGACCTGCAGTTGTAAGAAGGGAGAGGAGATCGATTGAAGACCCAATGAAAATGTGTTGAAATGGAGGCGTAGCCTTTTCATTCCCTTCCATCCGTCGACGTTGTGGTCGTCAGACGGTCATAGCTGGACGACCTATCCAACGTCAGCGGTGTGGTCTTCACCGGGTGGCTTAGACGCGACGACGAGAGAGTGACGGACTTCGACCGCCGTCAGATAGGCTCTCGTTCTCATGAAATATACGTAAGCGCGTCAAGACGACTAGAAAGATTCACCGGATTGAAGAGACAGGAGAAGATTGCCGGAGGGAGAAGAAACGAATAGTAAGAACAGAGAGCGAACTAAGGAAACGACGATGAATGAACGATTTGGAAGAGAAGATTTGTTGAAAATATTTTACAAGGCGCAGGAAACGACGAGAATCTATTGATGACAACAAATGAAATGATGGTGGAAGCGATTGGATATGATAAAATTGTGACGAATGGGATTGAGTGAAGTGGGTGAAAAGTTTGAGAATAGTAGTGAAACGGAGCATTTTCTGTTTTACAGCTATGATTTTAGATTAAAAACTTTTTGGAACAGGTGACAATAGATACTTATTGATAGCCATGATAGGGGAAAGTCTAGTTAGTCCATGATCAAAAGTAGTGCTGAAGTTGTCTTGTCATGGTCAATGAATCGTAAAGAGAGAATATTATATCCGAGAGAGTGGTGAAAGAGCGGTAGTAATGGAAAGAAGGCGTATATCTCAAGATAGTTGCCATATAGTTAGACGCAATGACGTTTATTGTATCGCAACATAACAAATGATTGGTTGAGATCTTTACGGTGATGGAAAAAAGGTTTACGTAAGAGAAAGGAAGTGAAGAGTGAAATGGAGTACAACATTGTCTAGAACGCTAGATGAGAAAAACCTCAGAACAATTCAATGAATACTGAACAAGGAAAGGAAGAAAAATTTTGATGCAACCGCTCCGATATCATCCTGAGAATTAAATGAAAAACGCCATGATTTGGGTGCGCGTTCAAGCGTTCATTGACGTGCATGCTAATCATTAGTATAAACATAGTGATTTGTGAAGAGAGGAAGCTTTTAATAGCCAAAAGAACATTAAAGAGTTAGTTATATTTGTAAACAACGTGTTTGTTTTAGATATGTGCCGCCAAAATCATGTCGCGAAGTGGAAGAATGGCAATGTGAAGACAAACCATTGATTGAAGATGAACTGAATAAACAAAATAATTTATTAAATTATTTACACAATAAGGTTAGTTTTTTTTATTCACATTTAAGTTCTTATAGGGTTTTCTGGAAGCGCTCAAAAAAGTATAGTAGTTACATAGGGGTGTATTTAAAATATGCTAGCAGATGCTGATGAGACATATAGGTTCTGAGCAACACGTCCTTCGCAAATTTCAGTTTTCACTCCATCCCTCGGTCAATCGTCAATTTTGACTCAGATACTATCATGTGTATGTGTATGAATGTAGAAAGTATCTAGAAATGACCTCAAATAGCAGTTGCCATTCATTAAGTTAAGAAGTGAAAATTGCCATTGCGAATGAGAGAAAAAGGTTGTGTGAGGTGAGAGAATACAGAGTGAAATGATGATGATGAGGTAGTGAATAGTATTTGAATGTCACATGGTTGTATAGAATGCTATAGTCATTGGAAAGTATGATAACTAGGCTTCATAAATGAGCGTATGTGTACAAGGAATACTTATGGTCAAGAAGAAGCAGAAAGTGGAATATAAGAAGCAAAGAAGCATGAGTTACATGAATACCTTTCTCTCTTTCTCACCTGCGTACAAAATAGGGCGTAAATTAAAAAATGGAGAGAAAGTACTGCATGGGAAGAGACAGGTAATAGGAGGATAGTCTGAGGCACGAAGTTGGTGAAACAGGATGAAGAGAGAAAGGGAACAGACTTGCTTGGGTAATTCACTCCGCTTAGGACCTTTCTGATCATAGAAATAACTACAAAGTGACTGTTAAATCAATAACGTTTCCGAATTCACAATTTATCGTTTCAGTTCTCAGCTATGTCTGATAATCCGAATGAAGAAACTGCCTCAGGGCAAGCAATGCTGTGGGACGTTCAAACAGCCATTACAGCTCTAAAGCGACGACTAAAGGTAGATTATATATGGTTTACATATATACAGTATGATGATTATAGTCGGTCGCTGAACCGATTCCTTCATCTCAAAGTTGCCCGCTCGAAAATAAGCCGTTTTTGGAAATGTATGAAGAAAAACAATTGGTTGCGGTACAAAGTATGTTAAGGTATAAGTTTGAATGGCATAACCCGATAACATTATTCAAAGTACAGAAAGGATATTATGGAGGAACGTAAACTAGTGGCAATATTGTTGTGGAGTTTCCGGAATAACACAGAAAACGATATTTCTGAGTCTGAGACTGAAAATTTGAATCATGATATTAAGACAAAGGCAGAAGAGGATTTAAAAGAAGAATGTCAAAAAGAGGAATCTATACGTTTGGCGTTAGTGGAGGACATATGCCGACTCAAAATGGAATGTGCTTTACTTCGAGCAAAAAACGAGATGCTATCTCACGGCCATACAGTTAGTACTCGGTTTTAGTACTTCTCTTTTAGTACTTCTCTTTTAGTACTAGGTTTCTCATGTATGTCTGTTTTTTTTTCCTCCATATCATTCGAGCATTATATGACTGGGTTCTTGTATGTTATACCCTCCCCCGTACTAGCCACCCCCCTTTTTGCCGTTTTGCGCACGCTCTTGGTATTTGAGGCGTTGAAAAAAAAAATTCTTGAAAAAATGAGCCTTATATTCTAGCCTAAGCCTTATGAAGAAGTCTAAATATATCATGAACAAGCCTGAGCCTTATTTTATGAAAAATAACTGCTAAAACCCAGCCTTATTAGCCTTAGCCTTATGAAAATTCAGCCTTAGCCTTATGAAAATGTAGCCTAAGCCTTATGAACATCTATCCTAAGTCTTATGTTCTAGCCTAAGCCTTTTTCCTACAAAAACCAAGACCATGCGCAAACGGCAAAACGGGCGGAGCCGGGAGGGGGGGGGAATAACATACAATAGCCTATGACTGTTTTTATGGTTTTAATTGGTATATCTTTAATGTTATTTCTATTTTTTGTATTCATCTGTAGGTGATCTTATCATCGATAGGGCTTTCTCTTGTTTCGGGAATATTCTAACATAATATCTTTCATAATAACATTTGTCTCTAGTCCATCCTGGATTTTTCGACATTGTCATCTAGGAACTCTATTCGAACTCATATCATTTGTGATAACGTCTTTTATTAAACACTTCTTCTTAGTTCCCTTGCAACTGCTGATGGTTAGCTCCATACTCCGTATCTTTCAAAGTCTTTCTTTGTCTTCTGGACAATCTTTTTCAGCCATGTCCCTTTTCAACAAACCTAAGAGAAAAATTCAAGCCAGGAGGAAGATGTCTGATGAAGAAACTGAAGATGACAGTATCACTTACAAAATTTTGTTTATTTCTTTAATTGGCTTTCAGATGTTGCCACTATAGGAGATATCAAGGAGTTGCAACGATCTCGGGGAAAAAAGAACGGTCTCACGGAGATCGAATGTGCTCTTGGCAAGCAAAAAGTAACTAGATTTGCTTTCCACTTTGATGTATGAAACTCTTAGGCAGCTCATCTGTTGGATGGTATACAAATTGCTGGTGGTTCAATGGCTATGACAGAGAAACAAAAAGCTCGTTTGGAGGCTGCTGATATCGAGGCCGGGATAAGGTGAGACAAGACAAATGTGCTTACCTTTGACCATACTTTTCAGAGAACAGTTCGAGAAAGAAACTCTCCTGCGTGATGAGCATGAAGAGTTACGAAAATACATCGATAATGGACTAGCTAAGTTGAAAGGGGAAGATCTCAATTCTCAAGATGACGACTCTAATCAAGTAGTATTCACACCTGAATTCCTGTAGACTATTTCCATTGTAGGGAGATGATGTTTTAGCCCGGGCGGCTAGTAAATTGAAATCTTATCGCAGTGAAACTGCTACTGAGCTACTCTCAGAACACATGTTGGCTGGAATTCCGGAAGTTGACTTAGGAATCAAGTGATTAAAGGATTTTAATAGTAAAAATTACAAAATACTTCAGCGCCCGGATAACAAACATTCTGGAAACAGAGAAAAAAAAGAAAGAACTGATCGAGTACCAATTAACAGGAAAGAGACCTGCTCAAGTAACGTTTCCTGAAAGAATTAAATATATGAGAACTGCTTTCAGGATCCACCCACCAAAAAACCTCGTCGTTAACTTGTGATTTCCTCTCATTTGAATTTACTGTGAATAAATTTTGGTGAACATTTTGGATGAAAACATTCATAAATATCAATTTGATTGGCCTTTATATCAAGAAGAAACGCCTAGCCATAAAATAAGTTATACAAAGATGAATGGAGAGAAATCGAAACAATAATAAAGGAGCTGAGAGCGTGTTTTCGATGAGGTAAGCCAACTAGAGGAAAACAAAGTCGAGAAAGACAAGAAAGAAGAGAAATCGGTTGTGTATACACATTGGGAATGCGATAGCAGAAAGATTGTCCGCTCTTCGTCCTGCTATCGCTCTCCCTTCGTTACCCACGCCGACTGTCATCTCGAAATTGGCCTTCGTTTCGCCTTTTGTTGACCACTACAATCCATTGACATCACAATCAATTCGTTTGTCTCATTATCAGCAATCTTTGTTCTACTAAATATGGTAATTCCTTCTTGTTTTCTAGTCATCATTTTGTTTTCAGACGGAGTTCTTCTCACCTCAGCGGATTGATGGTATGTCAATGAATATTGTTTTTTGTAACCAAAGTTAGCTTTATTGATTTTCTGATGAATCAATACGAGAGGAAATCATCGGCTCTCCCTCTGCTTCAGTTATCAATTTGATTAGACACTGTTGAGAAGTCAGATAGTTGGTATTGACTCAATTTTCACTCAAACTGTCCTCTTCGGTTTAAATAAGAGCATGTCCTGTTTCGGCGAATGTATTGCGTTATTGAATTTGAACCAGAAAAAAATTTTCTTTCTGCTGAACGATTGAAATTCCCTGATTGATTTTATATGTTAATACTTGACTTTTCAAATTTAGAAATTCGGGAATGTTTCAATGTGTATTGTCAAGACGGCACCATTCGATCGGCACCCCAATTGAGATGTATTTTGAGAAGTCTGGGATACTCTCCAACGTCTGCAAAAACTATTAACTACTTCAAAAGCAAAAGTATCACTCGAAGCATTTGATGAAACATTGTTTCTTGCAGATAAACTCATCGAGTTCGCTTCTTTTCTCGAAATAGTTAAGTTGGAAGAAGGCAATACTGATGCTCTAACCGAAGTGATAAAAGCTTTGAAAGGTTTAGACAGGTAAGATAAAACATTTATAAACTTCTATCTGGAATTTAGGCGAGGAATGAGGGCCATTCCTTCTGAAGATCTCAGATCCGTCCTTTCTTCTGTTGGAGAGCGAATGAGCCATCAAGAAATCGACTTTGTTCTCCAACAAGTTAGTAGAGTAGCCTCATCCCATTCTCAATAAACTTTCAGATTGCTGTTAATGGAATCGTACCTCACCAAAAGCTCATTCAGTTCATTTCGAGACCTTGAAAAGATTTTCATATGAACGCTTTGGCTTGGACCTGTAATAAAACTTTGTGATCAGTTCTCTGGCGCAATAAAATAAAAATTTACTTCATCTTTTGATAATCACTCAGAATCACAGTCACAATATCCGGAATCTAGAGAAATTTCTTTGGTGTAGTTCAGTGAGACCTAGAGGGTTATGCGAATCAATTACCGCCAGTTCATTCGATTTTCATTTGTTACCCGATAAGTGGATCTGTTTTTCTCGATTTCCCTAATACGCCGTATAGGTAGTCCAACTGCCATTTGTTCTTTCAAGTGTTCTATTACGGGTAAGCCTAGCACATAGTAGGCTTCAAA